GTTGGTGTTTATTGTCTAGTAATATTACCAAAGCAGAAAAAGGTCACACAGTTTCTAAAAATATCATATTCTTAAACATATGCTTGTTTTTAAAAAAAAATCGAAACATGCTTTGGTACGAAGAGCATTTTCCTCATTAGTTTGGATGCAATTTCGATACGAAACACCTCAAAATGACGTTGCTAGAACTTTAACCAAATATGATTTCTTGTGTTGTTAAATTACGTTGAGACAGATCTTGAGTGATTTTTTTACCGTAAAGTAAATGTCTTCTTGATTTATCATGCATGGAACATGATCTTAACCTACCCCCTTTGGCTCATCACAAAAATATTTCAAAGATTCTGAATAAGAATAAAATATTAATATTTGTTCAAATGTAATGTAGCCATCGACACGGTGCTTGTGCCATCGGCATTGTGAAAGAGCCCTCGTAAATCTGACGGAGCCAATGCAAACAATCAATTACTATCGCTATTTTAGAATATTGCGATTTATATTCATGGACAAACTAAAGAGAATCTGCAAATTCATCATGTATGTACGGCTTAATGGACGTCCATCCGCCTTTTCAGAATGGACCCTGGACATCATATCCTTAAATTATCTACCGAAAGGTGACCTATAAATTTTGAATTCATTAATTCACTGCATGATACGTAATATGTATGCAAGTCGATTTTTGTGATGATACTATTTTGATGCACGGGAGGCCAATGAGACCGTTATATGTATCATGGAAAAAACAACAACAACAAACAACACCATATACATGTAAAGACAGTAAGAATACAATGATATAACAATTATTTGGCAAACGGGTTTACCCACAAGTTCTCTCAACATTTGCAACAGTTATTCCCTTATGCAATGAGTAACAAAAAACCCATATTTTTCAAGAATGACGATCAGTTAGATAGAAGTAACCACACACACACACGTACGCACGCAGTTTGATTTTTATTAGTCCCCTACCGGTTTACCGGAGGGGACTTTAGGTTTACCCTCCGTCCGTCTGTCCGTCCGTCCGTCTGTCCTTCCGTCTGTCAGTCCGTCAGTCCGTCCGTCCACAAAACTGGATCCCGCGATAACTTGAAAAGTACTGAAAATATTTTTATGAAACTTGGTATATGGATAGATGGCAGTATGGAGATTATGCACGTCTTTTTATTTTCTTCCTATGTTGAAAATTCTGGTTGCTATGGCAACAAATAGGCTGAAAATATGGCAAATTTTACACATAAACTGGATCCAGTGATAGCGCAAAAAGTACTGGAAATATTTTTATGAAACTTGACATATGGGTAGATGGCAGTCTTGAGATTATGCACGTCTTTTTCTTTTCTTCCTATGTTGAAAATTCTGGTTGCTATGGCAACAAATAGGGTGAAATTATGGCAAATTTTACACATAAACTGGATCCAGTGATAACGCAAAAAGTACTGGAAATATTTTTATGAAACTTGACATATGGGTAGATGGCAGTCTTGAGATTATGCACGTCTTTTTATTTTCTTCCTATGTTGAAAATTCTGGTTGCTATGGCAACACATAGACTGAAAATATGGCAAATTTTACACATAAACTGAATCCAGTGATAACTCAAAAAGTACTGGAAATATTTTTATGAAACTTGACATATGAGATTATGCATGTCTTATCTGTTCTTCCTATTTTGAAAAAAATATCTGTTGCCTTGGCAACAAATAGGCTTAAAACATGGCAAATATAACAATATTTGTGATTAGTCAAAAAGAGCTGAAATTTTTTATGAAAATGCATCTTTAATTCAAGAGTTATCTCCTCTTTAAGAATTTTGCTTTTAAAATGTTATATTTTGGTAACAGGGATGTTTCAAATATTAACTTTAGAGTGTCCTTCAGTCCGTCTGTCTGTCTGTTCATAAAAACTGTTTCCTGTGATCACTTTTAAAGAACTTTTCCAACAAATTTACTTAAAATAGAGAAACATTGAAACATTAGTGAATGGCCAATGGCCCTTCAGAATGTTGATGGGGTTCTAACCGGTAGGGGACTTATGAATTGCTTGCAATACTATGATAATTCCTTGTTGTTTGTTGTCTTGCAAAAATGACAGAAAAGTACATTCATATTAAATGAGATTGTGCTGGTTTGATTTTAGAATCAAAGCGTTTGCTTATTTTTATGAAATGCTGAGCAGTGAAAATATCTTTATTATTATTTTCTAAAGAGAACTCTATGATACCATTAGACATTTAACAGGTGAAATTGCCTCAATTTTCTAAAGAGATCGATTCTTTCATTTCAATATTTCTGACCTGACAAGAGAACAAAAAATGGTTTAATAGTTCTATATCATAACCACAAAAACATCTTGCATCCTATGATAAATGATTGCAGAAATAGTTTACAGCATACATTTAACAGTCTATAGTGTAAAACAGAGAGTTTTGTGACCTGTTACGTACCGTTTTGGAGTGTCTGTGTAGATAGAACAGTTGATTTCGTTTTAAACAAGGATTTAAAAGATGACAAAGTTTTTACAGATATATCGTTCCCTAGCATCACGGATGAAGAAACAAAAAAAATAAAAAAATATGAGATTGTCAGTTTATAATTGCAAAGTTATCTTAGTTTCTAAGATTTCTCTTTCTAGAAATAGATTACTTAAGTAATCAGGAACATCTCCGTTATGAAAGTGAAATCCATGTAATTTCTTTAACCCTTATTGTGAAAAATGGCCGTTTTCCTTGAAAAGCTTCTGTTACAAGTACAAACTGCTATGAAACTATGAAAAATGCATCAATACTAAACAAACTTAGCACAAATGTTGACTGGACCGTTACCTTTGTAACGACATGCTCAGTATTAAATTTCCTGTTAGCATGGCAACGAGGGGACATCTCAAAATTGTCAAAAATCACTATTTTGCCTTGATTTTTTCCATCAATTTTTTTTCAAAGTGCTGCAACTTCTCAAGGGATTGAGATAGAGTCAAAGGCTTTTCAGTGTTGGTTACACGTTACCTGATGATCGACCTGGGGTCATTTTTAGCCTCTCACAAGTCCGAAATTTTCTTTGCGATGAGGGGGACTACCGCCCCCTTCATCCCCCCCGAAACAGAAGGGGCACATCCCCCTTCTGGCAACCCCCTGATGTATCTTTTGGATGGGGGCGGCGCCGAAAAAGTGCTCACTTTTTTAGCAACATTTCTCAAACGAAAACATGTGTTTTGGGCCCAAATAGGACATTTTTTCACTATTTGAAGCCTAAAAGAGGGGGCGGGGTCGAAAGTGCGCTGTTTCGCGTATATATGAGGTAAAGGGTTAAATAAATTTGGAAGAGAAACTAAACAGATTTGACGTTGATGTCATTCATGTTTAATACAAACTGCTTAGGGTGGTCCTCTTCCTTTTGGTAAGTAAGGGGTTATTAGGGTCAAGTTCAAGGTTACCAAAGTCAAAAAGTAAATGTTTACGTTTTGACAGGTGATTTAACCTTTTTCTATTGACATATGTCTCTTATCATTGGTAGGAACATAAAAATATGGTCTTTTTCTTCGGATGGAGTGAGGGTCCCTGGGTTAAAGCACCAGTGCTTGAAATAGATTTTTACTTTTGCTCATACTACCTTTGTTTATGGGCAAACGTCTTTCATATTTGGTAGGAAAATAAATTGAATGGTATTCTTCCTTATGATCGAGGTAATCAGTGGGTTAAAGTCACCAGAACTTAAATAGTTCTTTTTTCAATTTTGCCTGTTCAGCCTTTATTTATCGACAGATGTATTTCATGTTTGATAGGAATATCAGGCGCATGGTATTATTCCTTTGGATGGAGTTTTGGTCAAGATCACAAGTTCTAAAATAGCTTTTACACTTCTGCCCATATAGCCTTTATTTATTGACAGATGAATCTCATATTTGGTAGGAAGATAACTTACATGATATTCTTCCTTTTGTTTGAGGTAGGGGTCAGTGTGTCAATGTCAAGGATGGCAAAAGAGATTTCTGAATGTTTGCTTCTACAACATTTACTTTTTTATTGATGTTTTCTATATTTGGTAGGATGATAACTTGCACGGTCTTCTGTCTTTGAATCGAGTTATGGTTTGTTGGGTCAAGGTCATAAGTGCTAGAAATAGATTTTTAAACTTTGGCCTATATAGCCTTTATTCATTAACAGATGTCTTTCATAGTTGGTAGGAAGATATCTTTCATAGTTTTTGGGTTTGAGTCAGTGGTAAATGGGTGAAAGTCAAGGGTGCCAAAAGTAGATTTCAAAAACATTGGCTGATACAGCTTTTATTTATAGCATGAAGTTTTTGATCTTTGAAAGGAACATACCTTGGATTGGCTAGTGCTGGGAGTTAAAAGTCAATGTCACTTGTAATGACAATAAATCTTTTTACAATTTTTTATACAGCCTTTGTATTCTTTTTTACCAATGTCGCATATTTACAAGGAACATACCTAAGGTGGTCTTTAAAGCTTTGATGGGGTTCCTGGGTTCAAGGTTACGTCTTGAATTTCCATGTAAAGATACTAGTATTTGATAAAGTTGAATATTTTTTAACTTCATTACAAGTCATAGCAAGGACTTGTCAACTTGTATTTTTCACAATTACAAAACGCCATGACTCTGTCGAGTTATATAACTGTGTTTACATTTTCCTGGGTAAACATTTTTTGAAATATAGTTACTGACAAGAATCTGAGCCGGGGGCATTTGTGTTAAACAAACACATTCTTGTTTTTTTTGTATAATAATAATAATGAGAATATCCCAAACCGTTGATATATAACATACATTAAAGCACAAAGTAAGTGGCCGAGTGGTTAACGCCTCGGACTAGTTATCTAAGGATTGCTGACCGCGTGGGTTCAAAACCTGTCAATTTTACATTCATTGCTTAGTACTTGTTGATTCTAGGATCTGATGCGATAGTATTTCAATAAGCTTAAAGCTTCCAACACAATCGAACAAAAATAAATTTGTTTAAACTAAAGTAAGATTCAGCAAATGATATAGAACAGGTCGTTTTTTTTTTTGCTTTAGCGAAACTTGCGCTACACTTAATCATTTCATGAATATAAGTGTTTACCAACCAATGTAATTTTGATTATTTTTATAAATCGTCAATATTCTACAATATCGACACTTATTGAATGTTTGTATTGTCTCCAACCCATTTGCTCTAAGGCTCTTTCACATTGCCGATGGCCCCAGCACATTACCGATGGCTCGATCACATTTGAATTAATGTAAGTATTTTATATTTAGCCAAGCTTTTTGAAATATTGTTTGTGTGGAGCAAAATATGAGGTAGGCGCAATGTTACTTGGCTATTATGTGGGTCAACATATACTTACTTTATGGTAGAGAAATCACTCAAAATGTGTCTCCTTGCGAAAGAAAAAACACGAGTTGATTTTTGGTAAACGTTCTAGCAACGTCATTTTGGGGTATTGGGTACCGGAATTGCATCCCAAAGGACGAGAAAAATGTTCTACATTACATGGCATTCTTCGATTTTTGAAAAAAACAAGCATGTTCTTAAAAGTTGGATATTTTTAGAAACTGTGTATACCTTTTACAGTTTTGTTTTTGTCGATGGCTGTACAACGGAACTGTGGAGGGCTCTCATTTAAACAGGTAACCAAAATGTAAAAGATCCACTATTTAGTAGGCGTGCTTGGGCAGCTCTGTGTCCATAATGGGATGTAAGAGGTATACGTAAACCATTTAAGACTTCTCAGGTTGTTGAAAAACAGGCAAATGGTGCTATACATATAAAAGCAGAAATCCAGGATGCCACTCTTCATCCTTGCATAGTGTGCAAGAAATGATAGCAGGCTGCTGTAATCAAGCAGATAGGAAAAATAGACGTTTAGTGGTGAGTGCCCTGAACTAAAAATATAGTTAAGGTTTACAAAGGAGAAAGGACTTCATTTGTATCTTTGTATATTTTTGTTTAAATGGCTTTTACACATTCAGAAGTTTTAACTACAATTATACTTCCTCTACATTGGCCTATAGACAAATAATATCTTAGATTGTTCGCCATATTTGATTTTCTTTATTCTGGTTTTGTCTCTTTAAATTGTCTTTACCAGTAATTGCTTTGTGAAAAAATTCAGGTTTATCATATCTTTAGAATATTATTTTGATATAGTATCCATTACCAAGCAGTTTAACCGGGATTTTAGTTGTTACTTTAAATGGCCATTTCAATATCGAGTGTTTCAGTTTGGTACTCACATTTATGGGATTCAGCATGCGTAAAATATGTATAAGTACACCAAGACACTACAAAAAGCTTCTAGCATCTTATAGTATTCCTCTTCAGGGCTAAATTCCTAAAATAAGTCCTGTCTATAGCATTTTTTGTGTATTTATTAGTGTATTATACACCAAATGTGATACTATCAAAATTAAAATATTTAGATAAAATAGGGAAGCTTCAAAGGGAAAAGAATAAAGATAAATGTATCAATATTTGTTTAAAGTCAAAAATACAGATGAATTTAAATAAACAAAAATATTAGCATGTAATTTCTGTAAAACTTGTTTTAAAAACAATATGTTGTTTGCATATTTTCATAATAAAACAATGATCATGTTTTGAATTTGTTTTATAAACACTGGTTTGTTTACATGACATCTTATTATATGATATTTTTTCTAACAGAGCTAGGCATCAACCATATTAATTAAATACACTGGGAAAACTTACGAGTGATGGACAACATAGTGTTTAACAAATTCTAGAAGGCCAAAGCTGTACAAAAAAGTCAACATGTCTGACAATCCCACTGAAAGAACTTATTTTTTGCAAACAATTTCGATGTATAAAGAACTTGTTAGAGAGGTCATTTTAAAGACCTTTCAATTTGCGATACACTCCGAGGACATTTCACAATTTTTATCTTCACATGAAACTAAAATAAAACTTCAGGAGTTTATAAGAAATGGAATTTTTAACAAAGCTGATTCTAACAAACTGCAAACACTTAATCCGAATCCAGACAAGTTTGATATTGCTTTATTGATCAAACTTATTATCTACCTTGGTGATATTGATGAACCAGAACGCGGATGGCACACAGACCCTAATCCTACAGATGAATCGACAGGAGCTGATCTCATTCGGTTAAAAAATATCAGAAATAAGTTGCTAGCGCATGATCCAAATGAAGCTAAGTTATCAAAGGATGAATGTGAAAGAGTCTTTGCTAAAGTGAAAGCAATCTTAACGAGAATTCTTGCAAAGATTGACCACGAGTCAAAGGAAAGTTTGAATGAGAGACTTTTAGAGTACAGACAACTAAATGTGGTTACAGAAAAGTCTGAAATAAAACAATACATTGAGGAACTTTCTGCTGTTTACAAAAACAATGAAAAACGTAAGAAAGAGGTAAGTTATAAATTAATTTGTTTCACATATAAACCTTGATTGTGATATTTTTACACTTGCATGCAATTGTATATGTAGATAAATATATGAATGACGCAATTACGCTCAGCATTCTATTTCTTAGTATTTCCGCATTCGTTTACATTAAAATGTGTTGAAATAGAAATACATAATACAGACAAACTTGTCGTAACGACTCAAGGAATTAAACGACTTCCTTTATGACTATCTTAAGTGGTCTGTCTGACACGACATTTAAATAATAAAATTAAAAAGAAAACAAAGAAATTCGGCATAATTACGCAAATGTGCTAAGCAGACTACCTGCCCTAAATAGTCAACAGATATTTCTAGATTGATTTGAATATTGTTTTATAGTAATAGGCAACCATGTTTTGACAAAATGATATGATAAAGCCATTTTATTTTAGAAATCCCTTTCATAGTAAACATGAACTCAAAAGTTAGTGAATATCTTTAACTTTCTGAGAAATGTACCTGAACAAAAAAGTTACATGAATTCCAAAAGCAAGAAATGGGCATTACTAAGATAAACAGATAAAAACGTTACCTGCCCTTAAGTTGAAATATAACAAGTATTCAAAGTTTTGATTTAATAACTTTGACAGTTTTTGAAAAATTGACCCTAATAGAAAAAAAATAAGTAAGAAAATGGGCATTTCTGCATAAATTAATTTTAAGATTAATTGCCTTTCTAAAACAGTTTCATATTTTTATAGCTAACATGTGCATTTGTATATCTAGTTAGCATTTCAATGCTTTAATAGTTTTTTGTGCACAAACTTTAGGTAGGACATTTAGATTTGCCTATTCCGTCCGTCCGCCTGTTCCTCCGTTTCGATCGTATGTCCGTGCATGCCTTATTCTGTTGTGTCGCTTGTATTTCTAAAACTACTTGAGTTAGAATCAACTTTTGTCGTGCGTAGTTCAAAAAGTATTTGACCTAAAGTCATGAAACTTTACAGGAATGTTTGTCAGAATATGCAGTGGTACCCTTGGTGTTTTGCTGGTGAATGCATTCTATATTTGTATTGTAATTGCCCTTGACTTAGTACAAATTTGCAATTTTCAACTTTAGTCATGAAACTTTACAGAAATATTGAGCTGCATCTGAAGTTCTGGGGTGTGGTATGTAGATTCATTCAGTTTTGTTAGACTTTTTGCCCTTGATTTAGTAAGAATTTCAGCTTCAGTCGTACGTAGCTCAGAAATGTTTGACCCAGGGTCATGAAACTTTACAGAAATGTTGGTCAGCATTTGTAGATGTGCAGTTTGAGGGGAGAAAGTGGTTATTGCATATTTAATCATAGTTGGTAGAGAAAGTGCCCTCGACAAAAAAAAATGTTTCAAAATGTTGTCATGTGTACGTTTAAAATTGCTTGTGCTACAATCAACAAACTTTAAAGGAACAATGATGACCTGTGTATCTTGGGTGTTAAATGCTGACTAATTCAGTTTTGTTTGAGTTATTGCCCTTGACTTTTGTATAAATTTATATGTATTTGTCAAAAGGTGTGATGTGTAGCTTAAGAAGTATAAACGTTTACACGATTGTTGGTTGATAAACTTAAAAGTTTAAATGACCTATTTCTGTTTTTTAAAGTGAAATAAAAAGGCGTTTAATTTCACAAATATATAAAACATATATATTAAATATCTTATCTAATTAAAAAAATCTAGGGCAAATTGTAACTAAAGTGAAGCGTGTCGCTTTGGGGAGCGTATCATTATCAATTCAAAAGATTTCCTTCATATGTGACCTTTTTAGAATAGTCCTATGGAAAGTGACATATGACAAGTTTGCTGTATATTAAAATGGATATAATTATATTAACATTCTAATGGAAAAAAATAATAACGTTAGTTGCCAATTTGATTTTTTTAATTACGAATTTAAGAAAGATGCATACCTGAATTTTTTTTTTATTTTTCTTCAAGGTTGAGGAATTGGTGAAAACTGTCAAAGGTTTGTTTTCTTTGTCAATTTTTATTTCTTGTCCTTTTACTCGTTTCTTAGTACGTATTTAAATTAAATTAAATGTTATTTGTATGCATGTATCATTTACGTATCACATTTTATGATTTCAAAACTTTGAACTTCCTTAAATATCGTTATTGAACATATGACATTTTTTGCACAGAGACATCTATGATCCGACTGTATGTCAAAATTTAATCAACTACTCAGTACTGTATCCATCAGGCCAGTTTATGTTTTCACATATTAGCCTATAACCGGTCCATGGCAATTTTTAGTTTAATTTCCTTTAAAGTATCTTACTAACATAAATCGATGGCGATTCCTTCTGACTCTGGTCCATAATGACGAAAGATCGGACTAAGAGTTTAGCTATGGCTAAGTTTTTTTCTTTCCTTTGTTTACATTTTTAAGCATTTATTAATCTGACTCTCTCAAAAAGGCATATGATTGCAGTTTATTTAGGCTAAATAGGGCTAATTTTAACAATGCATAAAACTGAAGATATCCATTGGACGCATCTAGATTGGCGGCATAGTTATATACAATTGCAAAGTCTATACAATTGCAAAGTATTGAGAATGATTCTGAGTAAGTCATAGAAAGTGGATTTAACAATGTTATACAAATGCCACAAATAGTTCAAAATAAGAATATTCTAATATTATTATCTATTGAACATTTTAAAGATTTAGTAGTTTTACTTGAACATTTTTTATTCGATAGTTAGTCAAACAAAAATCTCTCTAAATGATACATTATTTTTCTTTTAATAATCTTTGATTTTAGTAAATACTTATTTTAATATGGAATTAAAAGCTGCTAAGTTTTAGTAATTTGTTTAAAATTTAGGTCTTTTTCCTCATTATTTCAGAATTGAAGCTATACTTCGAGAAAACTCCTGAGTTGTATGTTAGATATGTAAAACTTCTTTACGAAGGGGGGCGTGTTGTCTTACATGGATTTCTCGAAAAAGAGGTTGCCAAAGTTGAAAAAGATTTGGCAACTCTTTTGTTTGAAAACAGACCTACTCTGATGGTACAGGTCCATAGCGATTTTCACGAAAAAATGTTTGGAGGAAACAACAACTACCAATTAGACCCTGCCAGTTGGGACATTGATCTTCTTGCATCCGTTATAGTTATTCTTTCTCCAAACCTTTCTGAAGACGATGCCAGTAACATAAGGGTTATACAGAATGCACGACGAGATTACTTAGAGCATGCTTTGATTTCTTTAGACAGTGCTGACTTTATTCCATATTGGACTGACTTGGTCAGTAGTTTGACTAGCTTATCAGCGTCGCTTGAAAGAGGAAAGAAATCTGAAGTCAAGTGTCTTATTGATCGATATAAAAATAAATCCGAAGATGCAGATGCTGATCGGTATTTCAGAGAATTGACTAATTCTCGGGTTACTACCAAAACACTTAAAGACTTTTATAAAGGTATTCATTATCCAGTTAGCAGACCGATTGCAAACTTCACCGTGTATATACAGATATATTTCTCTTACAAACTAGTTGATGAAATTATAAAAATAAAACCGTGTGTTTGAAGATGTTTAATTTACCAAATTACATTTCTCTTTAAATGCATTAAGTATTTCAATATAATTCAATGATTACAATATAATGATCTATTTTAATTCTATTTTGTCCTGTGTCAAATTTGCAACAAACTATTATTTCTTTCAGAAACAGTTGCACGATTAGTGAAGTATTTGGAAGAATTGGAAGAGAATGGGCAAAAAGTCAAAAAAGAATATTTAAGTACAGTGTATTTTTCTTTCATACCAATATGCATATATAGTTGTAACATATTTTAGGCGTAATTGTTTACTTTGTCACAACTTGACAACTTCATTATTTTGATATGTACCTTAATAGTCAAATAAATCGTCGGTCATTCTTCTGGTTAATTATATATAATAATTATAAAATACAAAATGTGTTTCACTGACAAGAAATAAGAGGCATATTGTTTGGTTAGCTCCAGGAATGGGCGAATGAAACTGTTCTTTTGCATTCGTTTTTTTTTTTTTTTTTTGCTATACAAGGATACTTTTGTTTCATTGGTGGTCTGAAAATCACTGGAACTTTATCGGCTTATCTCACCGACTGGTTTATGTAGCAATTTTACTTTTATGGGGAAAAATGCCACATAAAATTCAAAGAAAAAGCACATAAACCCCAAATGTTGGCACTTCCGTCCGTCCGTCCGTCACACTTTCGTGTCCGGCCCATAACTTTGTCATTTATCATAGGAATCTGAAATAACTTGACACAAATATTTGTTACAATAAGACGATGTGTCATGCGCAACAACCAGACACCTACCTCAAGGATCAAGGTCGCACTTGCTCATTCAAGGTCAACATTGTCTATTTGAGGGTATATGTCGTGTCCGGTCCATAACTTTCTTCTCTTTGAAGGTATTTTTTTAATACGTGCCACAATTGTTCACAATAATAAGACAATGTGTCATACGCAACAACCAGTCACCTACCTTTATGGTCAAGGTCACACTTAGAGGTCAAAGATTAACATAGTCTGTTATAGGGTACTAGTATATTTTGTGTCCGGTCCATAACTTTTTCATAGCTCACAGGACTCAAATTTTTGCCACAAATAGTCACTATAATAAGACGATGTGTCATACACAACACCTGCATCCCTACCTCAAAGTTCAAGGTCACACTTAGATGTCAAAAACTAACATAGTCTGTTTTAGGGTATATTTTGTGTCCGATCTAGAACTTGTTTGCCATTTTGAAATAACTAGGCACAAATAGTCACAATAATACAATAATAAGTACAACACCTGCACCCCTACCTCGAAGGTTTGGGTCAAACTTATAGATCATAGGTTAACAAGAGTCTGTTATATGGTATATTTTGTGTCTCGTCCATAACTTCTTCATAGATCAAGGGATTTTGAAAATACTTGGCACAAATAGTCACAATGACAAGATGATATGTCATGCATAATACCTGTGTCCCTACCTCCAAGGTCAAGGTCACACTTAGAGGTCAAATATTTACATAGTCTGTTTAAGGGTATGTTTTGTGTCCAGTCCTTAACTTTCTCCTCCTAGACCAAGGGATTTTAAAAATACTTCGCACAAATAATCAAAAAATGAGACGATATGTCAGGCGCAAAACATGAGTCCCTACCTCAAAGGTCACACTTAAAGGTCAAAGATTAACATAATCTGTTATAGGGTATATTTTGTGTCCGATCTATTATTTCTTCATAGTTCAAGGGATTTTGAAAATACTTGGCAAAAAAAGTTAGAATAATAAGACGATATGTCATGCACAACACCTGCACCCCTACCTCCAAAGTCAAGGTCACACTAAGAAGTCAAAGCTTAACATGATAGATTTTTAAATTTCGTATTTCTTATATTTCTTTAATAAATTTATTGTTGCTTTTGCAGATCTAGCATTGATCATAATTTTGGACAGAAAGTCCTGAGATCCATACCTAAAATCTTTTGAAATAGCACAATTTTATGCGTCATATAAAACTTCCCCGAGGCGGGGGACGTAGGTTACTCTGTTACAAATTCTTGTTATCTTTGAAATTGTCAGTATATTGGTTAATTGTCTTTTAATTTGTTATTGATACTCTTTCGCTGCCACCTTCATTGCGAAGGTAGTTTTTTAGTTTTGAGAAAAAATGTTTGCAGATATAGGGTACATTTTACTGCAGCTTTTTCTGGTCTTGGCTTCTGGCATTTCTATTCTTTTACCTAAATTTGTTGTCTTGGGTGAGTGTGTTTCCGCCTTTTTCTATTTTTAATTAGGAATTCTGAATATAGTTCAGGTCCTCAGTTAAATATGGCTTGTAATCTTTTCTTGCACCCTGTGGAATGTATTTTAGTGGCGTTTTTGGAAAGTAAAAAAAGATAGAAGAATTCACCTCTTCAGTGACATGTTTGATGTTTCTTCACTGTTCCGTAGAGAAAGTTTAAGTTTCTAAAACAATGTACTACTGTTTGTTAACTGCATAAAATATACATAATAAGTGCAAACGGAAAATATCTAAAACAAAGCAGAAACAAACAATATGTATGTTTACAGAGCGGCTAATGTATGTGTTATGTTGGTATCACACATACTTTGAAATGTCTCCTCGCTAATGATTAGATTTCTGCCACCAAAACTGACAAAAATACACATAAATTAGCTTTCTGTTTGAACAAAACTTTTTCAGACACACACACATTTGCAATATATTAAAGCAACATATTCAACATTATCAATTTTAGCAGATTTTCAGACCAGTGTTTGCATGCAATACATTTTCAGTTCTTTTGAATTCAAATAGATAGCGTTACTTAAACAATTAAACCTATTACATTTCTAGTGGTTACAATGCAAATTCAGTTGTCAAATAAATTACGGTTACTCAAAGTCTTCTGCATTAAATATGATGGCTATAAAGAATACTGATTTCAATTAGTGAGATTGCCAATGAATAAATCAAAGAAAGTAGTACACGAAATTTTAATGTTGGCATTATATTTTAAATCTCAGTTGACAAAATACAGTAATTTTGCAGCATAAGTCCAATTATGTCCTTTAGTTACAATTTATACTTCACTTAAATACAATATATATTTATGTTATAGATCTTGACCTCAAACTAATGGTTGATTGCAAAAACGAAAAGACAAGAGAGCTGGTAGAAGACGTTCTAGAGGAGCATTTCAAAGCCTCCCTGGCAAAATCTAAAAAAACGGTTAATTGCATTCGGGAGCAAACCGACAGCTTATTACATAAAATAACAGCAAACCCAACTGTTACAATTACCGGTGTGAAAAGAGGCTGTATAATTCTGTCATTTAGAACCTCAACAATCCATGGACTTTTGTATCTCATACAACTTTTTGAAAGTCAACAATTTCGATCTATTCTTGATAGCTTATCAGCCGAGTTGTATTATCTTTATGGAGAAACATGTTTATTGCACGGGCATATTCCCTTCGAGTGTCTTGACAGAGTTCTACAACAGTTCAAGGGTAAGTGATTTTAACACACATGTTAAACATACTAACAATAGGTTGAACATTCTGGTCAACACGCAAAACTCACGCCCAGGTAAAAATACACACGCACGTTTTAAGCTTAACATAACGAACGATAAATACAAGTTTTTACAGACGAAATACTTAGTAGCACAGTTATAATTATACAGTAAACAATAAAAGCTTTCATAATTCTAAATCGTAAGTTAAATAAAAATGTTTTAAAACGTTAATCAAATATCATATTAGTATGTGTTTTAACAGAAAACTTTAGGGCGCGAAATTTTACCGTTTTGATTAAATGAATTAAGCTAATACACCGTGTATATCCAGTAACGCCGGAATGTAAAAATAACCCACGATTCGTGCAATAAGACACAGAATTGTGCTAAAAAATGTTGGATACCTGACAGGATTTCCAACGCGGTATCCAACTGCTGGTGATATAGAACATTGAAATAAGCTGATAAAATGGGATTCAAGTCTTTTTTTAGGTACGCCGATGTACATGAACTGTACTAAAGCCGGATAATGCGATTTCTTTTCATATATGGTACTGAACTGTTGTACACAGGTTTAACGCCATTAATCGACGAGTATCAGAACTTTTCAAATATATTTTTGTGGGGAAACATTCATTTTATACAGAATTTAAATGTTTGATTGCGTAGAAAAAAGACACAGTCTTGAATCCGTCCCTGAAACCGCAGAGCTATAAGCTTCGTAATACAAGTCTTTGTTGAAGTGAGTACGTACGGAGCAATGCGTGAAAAAAATCTCACTCTAGGAAACAACGGGTTAGCAACGGGGTAGCAATTTCTCAATACCTGATATTGAGATGATAGTTATGAAAATGGGCTTTGTTAAATTATAGCCTTTTTTTATTTTTCCACTCTTTATTAAATAGTTGACAAGAAGAAGTCCACTTTCAGACCTTCATGGCATGGATAGATGAAATCTTCTACAAACACATCTCCACTAGCCCTCCATATACATGTACTTTGGGTAAAGAAACCAAAATATATTCAACCTATCTTTAGTCTATGTGACTTTTTACCTGGTAATTTATGAAATGGTTTTGCTTGGTATTAGATATTTAATGTATTTATACAAATGAGCTACCTGAGTGAGCGCTCTGTATGGATGTCACCTGGCTCTGTATTGGTGGCCTTCTTTATGGTCATTAGTCCTATTACTTTTATAAACGTCTATAGTAATTCCTAGCATAAACTCTTGTGGTAGATTCATGTTTTTCCAATAAAAGTTAACATGTAGATAAGAAACCCTAAGAGTAGGGTAAATCTTTACCACAAGGGTTATAATTTATTTAACTTTAGCAGAGTACAATAAGGTTATGCTTTTACAAGTTTTGGAGATTATAGTTTCAAAGTAAAATATCTTTTGAATACAAGTTACTTCCTTACATAAGAGAAAAAATAAATCAAATAAATAATCCATTTTCACAGAGGTTTACCAGGTTAATTGTTACAGACAAATATTTGTTTTGGTTGGGTTTCACATCACGCCGACACAATAAAGGACATATGGAGACTTTGAAGCTTTACTGGTGCATTATTTCAGGCATAAAATATACATTATTTCAGGCATAAAATATACAGACACTTCTTCTCTTGATTGTTTTCTATTATTTTATTTGCAAAGGAAGTTTATTGTTTTCATTTTCTAACAAGATCAGACGAGGGCAGCAAGTTAATAATAATTTTATTTCAAGAAACAATTTTCAAATTGTACTAATCAAAATGTTGAAAGTTTTTCAATATCTAATTATCATGTATTTCTTAATAAGTTACGAAGAAAAGACATTGACTATAGATCGCAAATAACTTGATTATTTTCGCCGATAAAAGGCATAAAACCTGTATTATAATTCTGTACCATATAAGAAAAAAATCACATTTTCCGGCAATACCGCGAAGCACAATTCACGTACATTGGCGTTATCTCATAAAAACGGTTTGAATCGCATTCAATTTGTTTATTTTCAATTTTCTATATCGCAAGAAGTTTACGTCACTTGCCTACCGAAAAATCGAAATTATGCGGAATAATATGCATTGTTGTACTTGAAAGAGGCGACAAAAAGCCAAAACTCTCGCTCAAAACGGTGGTCAAGCCATCATTTTCACGAATGATCTTGAAATGTTAACAATTTCATTGAAATAATCTTGATGAGGGATAAAGAGTAATATCTTCGCAGCTGTATGCGGCTATTGATTTTTTTCAGTTCGGTTAAATAAAAATATATCGGTCAGTTTTCTTACCGCGTTGGGAATCCTGTCAGGTATCCGCCATTTATTGCAGAATTCTGCGTTACTTATTGCATGAATCGTGCGTTATTTTCACATTCCGGCGTTACTGGAAATACACGGTGTAATATAAAGATAGATAAGAAGATATCCTTATACTAGATACATGTATTCAAAATCTAACAAACTGCCTGGCAAAATTAATGCCTTTTAATGTTAAGTCTGTGTTCATGCGCATTTCGGATAAGTAACTGTGCTTAAGATCAGGGGTGGATGTCTCGAAAGCCTCGTATCCCTTACGACGATCGTATCACTAACGTAAGACCATTGTAGCATTTTTTCTGATTGTCTCGAACAGTTCGTAATTTACGAATCATCGTAAACATCTTGTTAAGTTACGGTAAAAAATTGACCCCATAAGAACATCGTAAGTCTACAATCACGTATATAATTGGATTCCATCTTGTCAATTTAGCCTCATTTTCATTTTAAGAGTAAAAGAAAATCCATGTCAAATGCATATTGTACTCAATCAAGCCTTTTTTTCGTTTTTACAATCCAAAGAGTCTGTATCAAATGCATAATTTGAACTCAAGATAGCCTCGTTTTTATTTTGCAAGTCCAAAAATTACATATCAAATCCATATTGTAGGCAAATAAAAAAAAAGTTTTGTCAAAACATAAATGGTGTGAAATAAAGATGTCATTGACAATACTCTGGTTTTATTGCACTCTTACACAGCTGCAAAACTTATATTTGACAAAGCGCTTAGAATTCAGTATTTAACACAACAACGTAAAATAAACTCATATTACCAGTGAAATAAAATCCATATCAATTATCATGCACAGTATATCACTCACACTGGGACTAGATTGTACTGATAAGGGGAGATAACGGCGTAGTAGATTGCTGAACTTGTTTTGGCGAAAATTTAAATTTTCATGATTCCGTAAGTTTGAAAATTTTCTAATAAGTGATTGAATTGTTTTGTTCTAAATGGCACATTTTTCACTTCAAATGTCATTATTTCTTTGTTTGATAAAAAAGTTAAAAATTACGCCGCGATTGTGACTATACATTTAAACTAACGTTTGTTTACATAGCGTCCATGAAGCAGTTGAACGTCTGACGTCATCTTTAAACGTGTGTTTGCTTCCCGCGCGTCATTATTGCCGTTTTCTACACTTTGCAGGCATTAAATTAAAAAAATGAGCCGTGTCACGACAAACCAACATAGTGCGTTTGCGACCAGCATGGATCCAGACCAGCCTGCGCATCCACGCTGTTCGCTATTAGTTTCTCTACTTGTAATAGGGTTTGTAAGCGAACAGCATGGATCCTTATTAGACTGCACGGGTGCGCAGGCTGGTCTGGATTCATGCTGGTCGCAAACCCATTATGTTGGTTTTGTCGTGACGCGGCTCAAATGTGTTAGTTTTTCGTGAATATGATATAAATCACACATCGACGTGAGAAAATATTGCAATTATATTGGGATACCGGTATACTGGTATCGAAGCAGTTTCCGATAAAAATATGAGGTTATTTAAAATTTTCCCAAATACCACGTCTCCAATTTAAATAAACTTTTGATATGACTAAGTACAGGTCACGCTTTGTTATTGTAAATAAAAACCGGATTCCTAAAGTACGCATGCGCATTACAAAAGGGGCTCCAATGGGAGGTGTAAATTAGCCTTAATTGACGCGCTAAAGAAGCAGTTTCCGACACATTTTTTTAATCGTTGATTTTGCGGGTTTTTAAATCGGTATCGATATTTATTTTATAATAAGACTTTTTGAAGACCTATTTAGGCAAATAGTATTATTTTATATAGGGGTTTAATATGAAATATTCAGAAATTCTGATGAGATAAAATATGACATATGCAGTGATTTTTCGCCGAAAGTATCATTACGTATCATATGTGATGACAAAATTTAAAAACGTATACATGTATACATAAGAAAAAGAATACTTGTGATTCATTTTCACTCATGGTAATTGAAACTAGACTAACTACTTTACACAGCCGTATTTTGTATGTTAGTACCCAGAATGTAACTTTATTGTATTCACGAATAACACATTAATTTACAAGTACAAAATATCTATCTAAATAAATTCTATCTGCATAAATGTTATCTGCAACACAAATAAAAAGAAAAAAATCAACAGAACATGAATAAAAATATCCAACATACTTTAAGCAAAAACTTGCCGTTTTATATTAAACAAGTTAAATAAAGTTTATTATTTTGTTCTTAGTTCTTCATATAATTGTGTTCATCATTCTTCCTCATAGAAACGTGGGAAGCAGGCTTTGCAGTACCACTGCACATCATCTTCATCCAAACTCTCTCGAAGAAGTTTCTTCTCGCTCTCACTCAAACATTCGAAATGATACCAACCAGTTTTAACACACAAATCATTATCACATTCATACCACTCAACACCATATTGCTCATCAAACACTCTTCCTCTAACACCACACACACCACACGTATACTTCCTATCAGCTAACTTTCCAAATTTCTCTTTCCTCTCTCTTTCTCTTAACTTCTCTTGCTCCCTTTCATTTTTCTCAGTCTATCTTTTCTGTTTCTTTGCTGCTTTCAGCTCATCTTCACGGTGATAGGGCGATTACCACAACTTTTCCGCGCAACGTCAAAATTCTTTACTTCTGTCCGAGACACCGTATATTTCTGTGGTACAAAATGGACAGCAAGCCTGTAACCGAGACGAAAACAGCATATAATTTGCTCAAACAAGGTAAACTCATCATTTTTCTTTTTCATCGAATGTGCTATTTAATTTGAAACTTATTTATCTTTACTACATGCAAAATGCTTCATTAATTAAGTCAGGATAGTGAAAACAATTAGGGTATACTGAAAAAAATCTTGCTTTGATTACGAAATATAACGTATTTCTAGTTCGTTCAGTTCATATAACTGGTCAAAATACAATATAAATATGTACATTATTGTCGTATGAACAAGTTACAATACATAAATAACCCGTTTTTGTATATTTGGTATGATTCTTATGTTTCCACGTGTGTATTTTAAGGCACCGCACAACTTTGTCAATCATAAGATTAGGGCACCGCATTATTCCTCCTTAAAATCACTGCATTTTTCTGTCTTTTTAGCACCGTTGATTTTTGATATTAATGTTTGCTTACAGAAAAAGAAGACGTTCAAACCTATGTCTGAACAAGCCAAAGCAACGTGCGAAATTGGCAAAGCTGCAGTTACTGCAGCAACTGGAGAGCGCCCAACTAAGTCTTCTGATATCAGCAGTACGCCAATGGATCAGCGCGTCCCTGTATTTCAGGACGATATGCGTAACGCACCACATAAGAAAAAGAGTATGAAGTCAAACTTTTCGCAAAAGATTGTTTAAAAAGCACATTGGAGACGATGACTGAAGAGATTATGGAATTTTGCCCGGGTTCCTGCAAAAACTACACCATGAAAATGTGTGTTGTGACTTTTGCAACTTATCAAATTAGTATGCAATAAGAAATTCCCATTAACAAATAGTTCATTCCTTTTGTTTCTCGATGTTGTTTGATGACCACACGTATAGTCTGCCAAGAACTTCAATCTTTCCATGTGGGGTTTATCAGTTTGAATAAGTTCGAAAAGGAAAAGACATCCTTATCTATATATAGATACTATTGCACTTATCTAACTGGTAGTTTAACACAGATCAGACCTTCAGAAATTTTCCATAACATAACGTATGATATAACAGCAACATAACATAACAGCAAGTAAACAATCTTTCATCAAACTTTCATCAAATAAAAGTTATTATAAACCTATTTGTAAGAAGATTGTATAATTCAAAAGAAGACGGTTCCAGTATTTATCGGTCTAACGGAAAAAAGAATGCGGTGTTTGAATTCAGTGTTGTACGGTGCTCCAATATTCGGGTCAGTAGGCCTTTTTCAACAAATATTCCCTGAAATTTACAATAGAGACACACAATTTTGTATGGAACTTGAACTTAGGGTTAGCCATAATAAATATACGAGCTCGTTAGGTCATTGAACAAAGACATCGTCGTTATAACACATGTTTTTGTGTCAAGTACGTATCATGTTGAGGTAGACACGATCTTTTGTAAACACTATTTCTTCGAAGTATGTGTTTTTTTGTGAATTGTATTGTGCTAAATTAACAATAAATTGTCTCAAAAATTCGATGGAATACTTAAACAATTGGAATAATCTTGCAAGGTCCAGCAGTAAGATATTTTGTAAGCTATTACCTGGAATTTGTTTATCCCGCCATTAATATTTTGTCCAGAAATATACGGTGTCTCGGTCAGAAGGATGATATTTTGACGTTGCGCGGAAAAGTTGTGGTAATCGCCCTATCACCGTGATCTTCAGCTATCTTCTGTTTCCGCTTCATCTCCCTATCTTCTTCTCTCTGCTTCTTCTCCTCCAGTCTTTTCACTTCTGCATCTTCACGTCCCTGCAATTATTGGAAATTTGAAAAGTCAAACTAATTACATTTTCATTATAAAACTAAAATGCGTGGGTCTTAAATTTATAAGAATATAAAAAACATGAGATTTAAACAACATAATTATAATACACTGTTATAAAAGATGACTGGAATTTAACAAAATTCAACACATCATTTACTATAAATCTGTATTGGTAAATATAATATTTGATTTAAAAGTTACCTTTAATATTTCAAGCATTTCATCTCCAGATAGAACTCGAGCACTTGTCACAGCCTTGCTGGGTCTCTTTTTTAAGGCATTGGTTTCGCAGGTGGTGGTACCAATATATCGGCCAAAGAGGCAGGAACCACACCTCTTTTCACTAGTGGGTTTTGTCCAATAAACTGCCCACATGTTTCACATGTAATTTTAGATATAAATTGTTAAAGATATATTACCTGGTAGACCATCTTTGTAGTTCCGGTGCGGGAAACCACCTTTAAATATGATCATGGTAGGTATGAAACTCCCATCGGCTGACACACACAAATGGGCAGTTACATGGTCATTTGTCATGTTATTCTGTCGAAATTCATGACCAGACTTTGGCCCTATAACCCTCTCTCTTGCACACTCTTTGCCCGACCACCCCGCCTCATCACAGTTATACACCTTAAATAAATATTTATTTTTACAATAGGATAAACGTGATTGCAGTACGTTGATTTAAATCCACTAAGTCTCTTAAATACTTCTTTACAATATATTAAGTTTAGTCGGTATTATTTTAATATTTTAATTAAATAAGCTGCCCAAAACGGATATAGAATAGTCAGAATAGTCGGCAAAAGCTGGAGAAAACAAACATTTCTTTGTAAACGGATCTAATTAAAAGAAAACGCATACTAGAGCTGAATATATACTTTTTTTTGATTTCATAGTATTTATGTCTAACACTTTGTTAAAACTTTACTCGGATTTGCTGTCCAGTGCATACGATTTACAAAGGGTATCTTTATAAAGAATATTCTGTTTCAAAAGTAAGTTTTGCTATCTCTCAACACACCTAGGATGGTTTGTCCATGACGTTATGCTTTTCCAACATATCTGACCAAAATTTGAAAAAATCACTAGCAACCGTCTTATTGGACATCCTGTTTCTGCCTCTGTTCCGGCTCTCGGGCTTCCGAAACGCAAGCTGCGGATAATCAGCAATCAGTTTCCTGAACCACTCGTCACTTGGACCTTTACTCAAGTTGAAGAGCGAACTGCGTCCTGTAATGAAACATTAAAAACTTTACTTTGACTATATGGCTATTGACCTTTTCGAAAACCAACTTAACACCGTTTTCCGGTACGTTACGGATTTAGCTCTGGGGAATTACACCAAATGAAGTACATAACAAAGTTACATGATATTTCTATTTTTCTATCATTATTTTACCGTTTAAGGTGAAAAAATTGATGTATTTGAAAATTATCAATATTCCTTTAATATCTATTGCAAATTTTTCAAAAAATAAATTGTTTATTATGAAAATCAATAAAATTAAAACAGACGTAGTGGAATCTTCCATAATAAATAAGGTTATTTTCTGCGTAAACTTGTGCATTTACTTTATTTTTTGTATGGAATTATTCTTACAATGATATTTGATTATTTTCTTATAAAGGAAAAACTGTTTCATTTCAATTTAATTTTTAAAAGAAGGCCAAAATATTCGAGTTCGCTATTACACTCCACTAGGTGAATTCCCCAGAGCTATGTACAGAATGTACCGGAAAACGGCGTTTAGCTAGGTTTTCGAATTCGTGAATATCTCGGATTTTCATAAAGAAAATTATGTTATGTTTATATTAAGATTCCATTAGTCCTTAAAATTATTTACATATATATTTCATTGAAATGATAATTTGATTTGATATGTGTGAGACACTATAGCAACTGAAATTGTTATGAGAAAAGAAAGAGTTAGTTTGATCATTCTAATTGGGGACATATTTAGTTCCACCTGAATGTAGGAATATGTTAATGTTCAAACAACTAGATTTGAAATTACATACCTGAACGTTTCACAATTTCCTGGACATAGCATCTCACCATCCTTCTTGTAAGAGGAAACCCCTGTCCAGCCATGTACAATACAAAATTTACCAATCCATCCGTCTCCTCTTTTGTGAGTTGCTTTTCTGGGCCCTTTTTCGTCCTAACATCCGGATTTTTCACATGGTCATGCACGGTTGTTCTTGGCGCATTAAATTCTCGTGCAGCCTTAGATATTGATAATTGTTTTCTTTTAACAGCCGACACGGCTTGCATAAGATCGTCATCATTGTATTTTTTGGCATCTACAAAAAAAGAATAAATGACTTTTTAACATATGGTGTAAAATCGGCATGACAAAATTCAAATTGACTCCGTTTTTATTTTATAATTTATTTTTGTTAAACATCATAAACACCCCATATGGTGCCCCAGAATAAAAATAGCCTTCTTTACGGGAAACAACCTACTGTGTCAAGTACAGACAATGATATACAGAGTTGTCTCCCTTGGTTAGAAAAATTGAGCAGCGGTTTTCCTATTTTATGCCTTTTTCGCTTTCATTTTTCAGTTCTGTTGGTCAAAAACGACAAAATACAAAGTTTTAGCTTATATTGATTGATTATTATAGATTTTAATGATTTTTGGCGACTTTTGAAAAGTCGTCTGTTTTTCGCCGGCAAAGGGGGGAAAAAATTTCTTATTAGGGCCTAATAGAGTTATCCTTTGCGCATGCGCATTAGTAGCACGTAAAATCCCCCATGCGAAAAATGTAAACACACCTGATTGTAAAATCTAAAGGTAAGATATATCTAATGTTTACCTCTGATAGAAGAAATTCAGTCGAGCGTTTCCTTTGATGATAGCGTTCTGAAAAAAGCCGTACCTTCAATTTTGAAGAGTTGCGATAAACGAAAATAACCCTATTGTCGGATACTACTAGCTGACGGATACTTTTGTTTGTTTGTTTGTTTGTGTCATTTTACGCCTTTTTCCAACAGTATTTCAGTCATACAGGCGGGTAGTTTCCTAACCATCGTTCCTGGAGAGTTACACCAGTACTTGACTACCTTCCTCCGCGCTAAACTGCCAAAGCATCTCCCGGGGATCGAACCCTCGCCAGAGAGGTAACTGGATTAGAAGTCATCGACTCTACAGGCTTTCAAGCGGGCCCTACTTTTCCTATTTTTCCTACTTTTCCCTACTTTTTTTGTTTGACCCCTACTTTTCCCTACTTTTTTTTTTGAAATGCCCTACTATCCCTACTTTTTAAAGAAAAAAGCTCGAGGATAATTGATTAAAAAACCAGTATAAGTAGTAGATTGATTTTGATATAATCTTTATCTCAAATTAAATAAGAATCAGATGCTAGTTTAATTGTAGGAAAAAGTTGATGGAAGTACAGGTCATCAGTGGTGCAAGAGGGGTTCCATGATGAGGATGGTTGGAGCTGACATGGCAGAATCAGCGACTTTAGGTGAGTTTGCTTATAAAGAAATATTACTTAGTGTTCAATTATTTTTTATGTTTTTGTACACAGACTAGCTTCTGAATTGTTTCATTTCAAAATTATAATATGTTTTTGTACACAGACTAGCTTCTCAATTGTTTCATTTCAAAATTATAATATGTTTTTGTACACAGACTAGCTTCTCAATTGTTTCATTTCAAAATTATAATATGTTTTTGTGCACAGACTAGCTTCTCAATTGTTTCATTTCAAAATTATAATATGTTTTTGTACACAGACTAGCTTCTCAATTGTTTCATTTCAAAATTATAATATGTTTTTGTACACAGACTAGCTTCTCAATTGTTTTATTTCAAAATTATAATATGTTTTTGTGCACAGACTAGCTTCTCAATGTTTTATTTCAAAATTATAATATGTTTTTGTGCACAGACTAGCTTCTCAATTGTTTCATTTCAAAAATTATATATGTTTTTGTGCACAGACTAGCTTCTCAATTGTTTCATTTCAAAATTATATATGTTTTTGTACACAGACTAGCTTCTCAATTGTTTCATTTCAAAATTATAATATGTTTTTTTGTGCACAGACTAGCTTCTCAATTGTTTCATTTCAAAATTATAATATGTTTTTGTACACAGACTAGCTTCTCAATTGTTTTATTTCAAATTATAATATGTTTTGTGCACAGACTAGCTTCTCAATTGTTTCATTTCAAAATTATAATATGTTTTTGTGCACAGACTAGCTTCTGAATTGTTTTCATTTCAAAAATTATAATATGTTTTTGTACACAGACTAGCTTCTCAATTGTTTCATTTCAAAATTATAATATGTTTTTGTACACAGACTAGCTTCTCAATTGTTTCATTTCAAAATTATAATATGTTTTTGTGCACAGATAGCTTCTCAATTGTTTCATTTCAAAATTATAATATGTTTTTGTACACAGACTAGCTTCTCAATTGTTTTATTTCAAAATTATAATATGTTTTTGTACACAGACTAGCTCTCAATTGTTTTATTTCAAAATTATAATATGTTTTTGTGCACAGACTAGCTTCTCAATTGTTTCATTTCAAATTATAATATGTTTTTGTACCAGACTAGCTTCTCAATTGTTTTATTTCAAAATTTTTATGTTTTTGTGTGCACAGACTAGCTTTCTCAATTGTTTCATTTCAAAATTATAATATGTTTTTGTACACAGACTAGCTTCTCAATTGTTTCATTTCAAAATTATAATATGTTTTTTGTGCACAGACTAGCTTCTCATTGTTTCATTTCAAAATTATAATATGTTTTTGTACACAGACTAGCTTCTCAATTGTTTTATTTCAAAATTATAATATGTTTTTGTGCACAGACTAGCTTCTCAATTGTTTCATTTCAAAATTATAATATGTTTTTGTGCACAGACTAGCTTCTCAATTGTTTCATTTCAAAATTATAATATGTTTTTGTACACAGACTAGCTTCTCAATTGTTTCCCAATGATACTTATGCTAAGGGACAATACACCCAACATCTTTGAGCATATATAGATTTTAGGCAATGTTTGGCATATTGGCAAGTATTGAAGTTGCTCACTGTGATCATTTTGTCTTGAATTTTCATTGAATGAAAGATACTGGAAAAATGTAGTGAGTGTTTCTGAAAAACATGTATGCTTTAATTAGATAGAATTTGATAGCTTTAATATGGTAGGGGATTAGGAATCTTTATCTTATAACAGATAATTTAAGAATAACTAACTGTGTGTTTAGGCTTTCAGTGTAATAACCATTAAAGATGTGAGAGATTGTTGTTACATCCAAAGTTTTTGCTCTCTATCTTTAAATATGTATATATAATATGGCATAAATACTCATTTATCTGAGACCTACTTACATTTCTCGTAATTAAGTGTCATTAAGTTTCTTTTTAAATTCCATTTTACTAACAATTTATTATTTCAGGTCCATTAATTTATAAAAATTAACTTCACAATGCCACATGGACAATGCATGTTAATGTATATGCTTTTCTCTGTAGTTGGGTGCATCTATTTATTTGGTAGCAGGCTTTACTATACTATTATCTATAGTTTTGCAATTAAATACATTATGAAGCGTAAACTCTTGCTTTGATTTGTCAGTTTCGCATGTACTAACTTTGCATACTAACTGCTTGTGTATATATCTTAAAATTTACTTTTGGTTGTTACAAGTATCTATTTTCTATGCCCATGTAAACTCCATGCATATCTAGGATGCTAGTAAACCTTTGCTTTTTTTTACATTTATTCCTTTTCATTTTCTAGTGTGTTATAATGCTAGTTAAAAAAATCATGTTTTAACACCTATCCTTGTTCTAGTCTGTGTTTCACATATTATGCTAGCTAAAACCATGTTTTGGCACATAACATTTTTCTTGTTTGTATTTTGTAACAACCATGCTATCTTAAACAAGGTTTTAAACATTTCCTGTTTCTAGTCTGTGTTCAAAAAACATGCTTACTTAATGTTTTAATGTTGCTAATAGTCTGTGTTCAGACATATTCATTGTTTATAGTTTTCTGTTATTATTTGGAATTTGATCTAATAAAAAAATACCAATTCCAGGTTCATGTCCAGATTCATCCTGTTGTGGAATCCCTATTGAGACACTGGTGACTGGTTTCCTAAATGAAGAAAATGCCATGGATATTAGTTGATAAGGGTCTGTATTTGTTTTTGCATCAACTTTGGAAAAAAGGTGAGTAGAGAGTCCTACTTTCCCTACTTTTAGGCTCTGAAAATCCCTACTTTTCCCTACTTTTTTACAAAAAAATTCCTACTTTTATCCCTACTTTTTTGTTATTGGCCACTTGAAAGCCTGACTCTAACCTCTCGACCACGGAGGCGGTCCCGACGGATACTGCTTCGATACCAGTATTATAGCATATTTGCTCACAATTAACAAATATGCTCTATCTTTTTAATGCTAACTAGTGAAAACTGAGATATCACTCACAGGCCATCACTCACGCTATGACTGAAGTAGCTTTGACGAACCTCTGGCATACCTAATTCAGTTAAGTTGTTAATTTACATAATAAGTAATTGTTGTTTTTGGTTGGCATATTTCTCGCTTCAAATACCAACTAAAAATTACACCGCAATGATGACAATAAACTTGAATTACGTTTTTGCGCAGCCGTTGAACGTCTGACGTCATTTTTTTTACGTGCGTATGTTACCCCCGCGTCGTTGCAAACAGTAAAAAATTGTCGTTTTCTTCATTTTAAGGGTTTAATAAGAAATTATTTGTTGTTCATGATAATGCCATATATCACACGTCACTCTTCTTACTTCTGTGCAGCTTCTGTCGCAGGTTGAAACAGAATTTACTTTTGCTATTATCTGGACCATTTTTTTTTGTTTTCTTTTCACTCGTGATGATTTTAGAAAACATGCTGAAAAGAAGTGATTTGCTCTCAGTTTCCTCTCTCGCAAGTACCTCAAGTTCATTTGCAGAAAAATTTGTCCTCCATTTTCTTGACTCCGCCATTATTTAATATTTATTTTAACTATTATATAAAATACTGTAAAAATATGTATGCATCAATGTCAAAACCATGTTATGCTATTTTTGTTTCTACTCAAAATGCTTGAAATATGTATAAAAATGTTACCCTACCCCACACATTTTAAATAGTTGTTTTACCATTTTCCTACTTGAATGCCTTGTTCAAAATATCCATAAAATTTACCAAAATGAGAGCCTGTGTACAAAGATTGCCTAAATTTTCTAAAAGGTACATGCAAACTGGATGGTCTTGTCAAATATAAAATACTTTTACCGTCTAGTGTTTATTTTATTAAGCTTAAAGTTAATAATAAATTTGGCATAATTTAGCCAATTAATACCGATAATAACTTTATAATTAAAATGAAACACTTTTTTCTACGAGAGACATATAAATAATAAATACCTATATTAATTAAATTATTAAACTTGTACACTTTTTTCTTCCTAAAAGGGATATTTAGTATATTATTTTCTGGTATTTGCTTCTGATTTTTAGATAATTTAATGACATGAACGCTTTGCGTTGACGATAACATGATCACCGTCATACGAACACATCTGAGGTTGTTATTATATTAAAAAACTCATCATTTATCAGTTATAAATTCTGCCAAATTAAATGTTTATTTGAGAGGTATATTGCACTTATCAACGCCGTCCATGTTCATTCTTTATCAAACTAAACTTTTATTACATTATTTTGCTAACTTTTAAAGTTTTTAAAGTTAACCTTTTATTATATGTCTTTTTAGTGATATAATCATTTTAAGTATCGAATACGCATTACCCAAGAGATACAATTTTAAACATTCTGCACCAGTGACTGGAATTCCGACAAGTAATCCTCTCAAGGCTTTGGATTATCAGCCCCCACCCCCGAAACAAGTTCTGTCCTGGCTAAATAGGATGATTTAACGTTGTTAAGTGATCTACCATACAGTGACCATATAAAACCATACCATATCGCCCGCTATTTTTGTTCAACAGCTTAACAACAGTGCAGGGACACGCAGAAGGTTGAAAATTAGCCTGCTGTAACCGGGATTGATTGATAAGTCTTTGCTACGTGTAATGCCAAGCCATTAGTCTGACCAGGATCTATACTGCTCGTTTTCGTCTCGGTAACCGGCCAATATAAAAGCTGGACATGTGCATTTAAAATCATGCAACAAGTTTAAGGATTAAACCCAGTTTATTTTCGCCTCAAAAACTGTGGCAGTGTGACAAGTCACCATTATGGTTAAAACAATATTTCACCCGTAATGAAAACTTTATACATTATTCACGTGAATATATGTGTTGTCGGTATGATTATTGGTGAAAAGTATTGTCATATTTTAATAAGTGTTGACGACTTTGCAATCGCTAGTTTTAAAATGAACTATGAATTTCAACACTTAGCGATAAAAGTGCTTTGCACGTGTACAGCATTGGGTGTTATATTTTCAACACAGATACTGTCTGTAGGAGATCGCCAAAGGCGTTCGGGCACGTGCAACAACGTTACATAAGTTATCATTTGTTTTGCCTGCAACCATCACTTCAAGATAATATGGCGTACACATTTAAAACAGCACGTTATTCGACTGCAACACTGCTATGGACGCAACATCATTTACGTTTTACTTGCAATCTAAATCTGGACTGTGTAGGGACGGGTCAACGTTTTCAAAAAGCCAGACAGGGTAGGAAAATGGAGGAATCTGAAAACTGAGTTGGTCATTATCTAAAGTAACACGAATGGTCAACGCTATGACAAAATTTTTAAAAATATCAAGTTACTATTCATACAGAATTCTAAACTTTGGAGTATTCAGCAAGGCGTCAGACATCACGTTTAGCCAGATAATTTCTTGCATAAAAACATTGACAATTACCTTGGCCTTCTTTACATAAAGATCATAAATGTTTAGTGTGAATTAGGCTGGGTGTCTAGTTCAAATTATCAGATTGAAACCTTTAAATTTTTGACCTCTGAAATACGCACCTGTTGGAATGGCCAATATATTACAACCGCACTCAAACAATGTTACGTCAACTCTATCAGGCAACTTATTTGGCAATGCATACGAAAAATGGAGGTCAACATTTGTTTAACAAACAAACGAAACTATTTTTGTCAGTATAGATTCGTAAGTACTCAAACTAAAGAGATAAGACTATTTTGCTGGGATTTTTGTTCGCTTCTTTTGGAAAAAAGTGTATCGGGTGTACCAGAGGACGGATGATCAGAAAAATGAATTAATGCTTCTCTATCAGCGTATAATTGACTCTTCCATACAATTTGCACCAGCAAAATTATATTTATAGTGATATTAAGGTATAAAGACGGCTAAACAATCAATAAATAAAAGAAATAATAGAATTTGGCTATTCGAAATGATATCTGTATATCATGTGCCCTTATCTGCACGAAATTTCATTAACACACATTATTACTTAATTACACCAAGTTCAAGGTCCTCCTGGTACTTGAAAAATGTTAAACGGTAATCAAAAGCCATGCAAAATAGTTATGACTATTACATGCCGTCTTCATCTTACTGATATTATAAAGACTCATCCTACTGATGACAAAGACTCTGTGATTTGATTAAAGTGAATTAATTAAAATGTTCACCTGATAGTAAACACCCCTCCTCTCCCAAATCTTTTTTATTCTTCTTCATATATTTATATCATTGCTTAATAACAAAAACCGGTATTCTAAAAAGTTATGGCCTGACATAAGCCTCTACTGTATACTGTCCCATGATCAATAAAAGTCCTTCGCTTCAAAATAATGAAATTTTAGTTTGTTAGTTAATAAGTATAGATATACGATTTTCACTTGGATTTATTTGATTTATAAAAAATCATTATGTAAATATAACTATGTTTTCAAATAGAAAAAAACATAAATAAGTCATACAAATGACATTGTTGTCATTGCAAATGGTCGTTCAGCTCTTTCAACCTAACCTTCAAAGGTGAAATCAATTTGTTTTCATTTAAACATAGAATATACATGTATTGATAACATTACTTTCAAATAAATGTATTAATGAAATATTCCATACTACTCTGATTAAGAAACAGAGTCGTAAATCATGTTGTAAATCAAGAGTTAAATACACGTAAATGAAGTCGGTGTGATGTTTTAATTTTGAAGAACAAGTCCGAAACTTTTAAACACTGACAATTTCAAAACTTACAAAATGCATTCGTTTGATATATTAATAATACATAGTTTATATTTTTTTTAGTTTCAGACTCTAGAGAAACAAAACCAAATAAAGGTGTTAGTCTACAGATTCAATGCTCCTCGATTGAAGGAATTCAGCACGTTTTGTCTGTTGCTGGAGATGCATCATCTGAAAAAAGCTTAATTGACATCTCTGACAAGATTTCAAGAGAAATCAAAGAATCTATTTCAGTAGATATCGTACCTGATATCCTGACGATAGGCGATGTTTCGAGAATGGAAGGTATGTTAATTGCGTTAAAAATGACAATGTCAACTGTATTTTAAATATTTTTGTTAATCTTGTTCTTTACATATTTCGATTTTTGTACACATATATGCCTCGGTATTCTAAAGGATAATACCCGGACATTACGCAAAGTTTTATAGATCTAATGAGATTCTGTGCCTTATTGTTTTGTAAGATTAAATTAAAAAAATATCGAACGCTGTTTTATCTATTTGTATATAATGATCTTAATGATATATATTCATATATTTGGAGCTCCACTTTTCGACAGCAAAATAATTATGATCTCATCGGCACTGGCAAACATGTTTGTGAAGGTATTTTTCTCAGAAACTGTCAATGCTTTTCACTTCAAACTTTGTTTACATGTTAATCATCATAATTTGCAGATAATTCTTTGTTACTTATTTATTTTTTAATCTTTTTTATTGAGGGTCATTTTCTCAGAATGTTTAACTTGATACTTCGTCAACATGTTAACTATCCCAACATGTACTACAATGCCATGTGTACGAATTGTGGTATGTAGCATTTCTTTGTTGACTTCTACAAAATTCATATAAATTATAGCCCTTTGGTCAAAATAAGCCTGGTTTGAGGGTCATGTAGTTAACATAGTATGTAAAGTACAAATTTCTTAAAATTCCTCTTCTTAGAATAACAATGCTAATTGTTAAGATGTTTTGCATGTAGAAACACCTTGTAGTCCTCTAAAGAAGCTATATAAATCAAGCCCGTAGTTTATTGATAGGCACCGCCACTTGGGCTTCTTCGGCTAAATCCACATGAAACACTTTTTAGTTTACATGTACGAACTATAAGTCCAGAGCTTTGATTTGATTATTTTCAATCATGCCTCAAGAGTAAAAAGGGTGCAGTCTTGAAGTAACTTAGTTAATAAGGGCTGACATAGAATCAAAATCTGAAAAAAGTGTGATCCCTCGGAAGCATTAATTACAACCAAATTACACGAAAATTGCAGAAATCGCTTTGATTTGAGTATGTACATGAGGGATAATGAAATAGTGCAACATCTCCCACGCCCTCAAACACCGATTTGATCGGTAAAGTACATTTTTGTCTTATTATCTGCAATAACGTATCTGAGAGAGAGCTTTGGTATTTTGAATTTAATAATTCCTAGCAGTTGTATACAAATATTTAAAAAAAATGCAGTAAGGGCAAAAAACAACAATAAAAAAACAAGAGAAAAAACAAAAACAAAAAACCCTTATGTATCGTTATTTCTGATTATTTGCAACGTATCTAAGGTAAGCGATCTTGGGCCACTATAACCCTCTTGTTTGACTCTGAATGTCTTGATAACCTTTTAATCAATGTATATTTCCTAAAAGCAATTTAAAATGTTCTGTTAAAAATAACTTGAATTTTCGTCTTTCCTTTTTTCAAACTATGTAGCACTGAGAAAAGAAGAGTATGCTGTTCGCGGACATACCTCTTTCAATACGTGTGGTCTTCCTTCCTCCCTTCATCCGTCACTGTCCGTTCGTCACACTCATGTCCGGAGTATAACTTGGGCAGGAATATCATTTATACTTCGAATGAATAGTGATAGAGTCCATTGTGATGAAGTGAAATTTTAGAGAAGCATAACTCTACCTTGTTTTTTCTATATAATCTCCCTAAAGTTCAAAATGCTCATTGAACTACAAACAGTAGAGACAAGAGAGTAATTAAAATGTCAAAGAACCATAATCTACAATACTTAGTTTTCACAGTATCTCCCATATTAATATTTTATAATGCTTGATCGGAGAATATTTTGAAAAATATTGAAGGAATTTGATGAAAGCTTCGCACAGTGCTGGGAGTGCAGTGTACAAAAAACATACTTCTACATTATTTAATTTTCGAATTATCGCCCTTTTTGATGCTTAAAGTATTTGATAATCCCGTCCGGAGTATAACTTCCAAATCTCTTAATGATTTTACTGAAACTACGCACGGTTACGAAAACTAGGTAATGCAAGTGCAGTGTTCAAAAACAATTAGCTCTGTCCGGTTAGCTCAAAAGGCATAGCGTTGGACTCTGAATCCAAACCGAACGGTGCAGATCACTTTTGTTGCAATTGATCTTGAATTTTTTACTACGGTCATTCGCACTGTACCTCTGCTCTGTCATGTACAGAAGTTATAAGTTCCTTAAGACAACTGCTACTGGTAAACGACTTAAAACACTTCCCAGGAACGATGCATTGCTTATATGTGCTCTGGTAAATTCAGTTTGGCCTACTGCCGTGCTCCGGAGTGAAAGCTACAAACACCACCACCACTAAGGAACAATAACTCTACATAACTTAGTGTTTGACTGATTTACCTGTATGAAACTTTAATAATTTTGTCAAGGTAATAACCTGAAATGTATTGAATGTTTCATTAACATATCACATTGTGATATCAACTAGAGAGGGAATGTGTGCTGTCTAAAATTCATTTCCGCTGCCGTGCTTGATTTTTGAATTTTCTCCTTATAATCCTTGTTGCACTTTCCGTGGTTGTATTTTATAGACTTTATCTGTTTCTTCTTTTGATGTCATTCATTCCGTAATGCTTTTATGTGGCTATTTTCTTTTGTGTGGCTAAAAAGAACAATAGAGAGAACAATATAATAGCCACATTATTACTGCCCCATTAGAACTTCCGTCCGTCTGTCTGTCTGTGTGTCCCCACTTCTATTGTGTCCGGACTGAAACTTTCGCATGCATTGAAGGATTTTAGAATGACTAAGTATAAATGCTTACCACATCAAGACGATGTGTTGCGTCCAAGAATCACAACCCTACCTCAAAGGTTAAAGTCACACTAACATTTTGAAGTTTCATTTTGTAACAATTAGAGTTTATAGGTACACACATTTGTGTCCGAAATGTAACTTTGTCATGCATCGAATGACTTTTAGCTCACCTGAGCTTGCTCAGGGTGAGCTTTTAGGATCGGTGAATGTCCATCGTCCGTCGTACGTCCACAATTGCTTGTGAACACTCTAGCGGTCACATTTTTGAACCAATTATCATCAAACTTTGTCAGGATGCTTGTTTAGTCAATTGCTTGGATGAGTTCGAACATGGGTCATCTCCGATGAAAATCTAGGTCACAGGAGCTATAAATAGAAAAACCTTGTGAACACTCTAGCGGTCACATTTTTGAACCAATCATCATCAAACTTGGTCAGAATGCTTGTCTAGTCAATTGCTTGGATGAGTTCGAACATGGGTCATCTCTGATCAAAAACTAGGTCACAGGAGCTAAAAATAGAAAAACCTTGTGAACACTCTAGTGGTCACATTTTTGACCCAATCATCATCAAACTTGGTAAGGATGCTTCTCTAGTTGATAGCTCGGATGAGTTCGAACATGGGTCATCTCGGATGAAAAAGTAGGTCACCGGAGCTAAAAATAGAAAAACCTTGTTAACACTCTAGGGTCACATTTTTGCATCAATCATCATCAAACTTGGTCAAGATGCTTGTCTAGGTGATAGCTCGGATGAGTACGAACATGGGTCATCTCGGATGAAAAAGTAGGTCACCGGAACTAAAAATAGAAAAACCTTGTTAACACTCTAGTGGTCACAATTTTGACTCAATTGTCATCAAACTTGGTCAGGAAACTTGTCAAGGTCATTCCTGGGAATAAATTGAACATGGGTCATCTCGGATGAAAAAGTAGGTCACCGGAGCTAAAAATAGAAAAATCTTGTTAACACTCTAGTGGCTACTGTTGTGATCCAAATATTCTGTTAATTGGTCTGAAAGTTTGTTTTGATGATTTCTAAGTCAAGTTCGAACATGGGTCATCTTGGATGAAAAACTAGGTCACACCGCCCAAATATGGAAAAACCTTGTTAACATTCTAGTGGTCACATTTTCGACTCAATTATCATCAAACTTGGTCAGGATGCTTGTCTAGGTAATTGCTTGGATGAGTTTGAAATCGCATGTGGAACTAGGTCACCGGAGCTAAAAATAGAAAAATCTTGTTAACACTCTAGTTGCTACTGTTTTGATCCAAGTATCCTGGAAATTGGTCTGAAAGTTTGTTTTGTTTTGATGATTTCTAGGTCAAGTTTGAATATGTGTCACCTGGGTAAAAAACTAGGTCGCACTGCTCAAATATGGATAATCCTTGTTAACACTGTAGTGGTCACATTTTTGGCTCACCTGCCATGAGACTTGGTCAGAATGCTTGTCTAGGTAATTGTTTGGATGATTTTGATAAGTCAGGTGAGCGATCTAGGGCCATCATGGCCCTCTTGTTTAATAACAAGGCAAAAATGTCCACCACGTCAAGACAATGTGTTGCGTTCAGAATCACGTCCCTACCTAAAAGGTCATGGTCACACTTCTATTTTGAAGTTCACTTTATCACAATTAGAGTAAATAGGTACAGACATTCGTGTCCGGACTGTAACTTTGTCATGCATTTAAAATAAAAAGGCAAAAATGTCTACCACATCAAAACAACATAATGCGTCCAAGACCCATGTCTCTACCTCAAAGGTCAAGGTCACACTTAAAGTTTGAAGGTACTTAGTTTTTAGATACACATTCATATCCGGACTGAAACTTTGTCATGCATGGAAGGATTTTAAACTTTGCACAAATGTCTACCACATCAAACCGGTGTGTCGCGGCTAAGGCTCATGTCCGTCTGTCCGTCCGTCCATCTATGCGTACCCAATTACACAACAATCATGTCCAGACTGTAACTTAAGGATTTTGAAATAACTTGGCAAAAATGTCTCTCACATGACAATGCTGTGTTGCGTCCAAGAACGACGTCCCTTCTTCATAGGTCGAGGTCACTATTATATTTTGAAGGTTCACACTTTCACAATTAGATATTATAATAATACACATTCGTGTCCGGACTATAACTTTGTCATGCATTGAAGAGTTTTAAAATAACTTGGCACAAATGTCTACCACATCAGGATAACCTGTAAGACCCAAGGTCACTCTAATAGTTTGAAGGTACTTATGCCCATAAGAAAAGTTTGAAAGTACACATTTGTTTCCAAACTGTAACTTTGTCATGCATTGAAGAATTTGAAATAACTTGGCATGAATTTCTACAACACCAAGATGATTGGTCGCATCCAAGACCCTTGTCCTAAGGTGTTAAGTTTGCTATAAATAGCACTTCATTTCACAAGAACAATATTAAGAAATAAGTATTTTTCATTCTCTTTTCTTTCCATAATGCCTGCATGCTTAAGATATCTTTTCGGAGGCATTCGTCACTTGCATAACTGCTCTTGTTTCCAAATAAGACAACTGAACATGTTTTTGACTTTTATTCATTTTATCAAAAATATGACTTTCAGAAATATTCGAATACAATGGCACAAGAAACGTGGATAAAAATGCTACTGAAATGTATGTCGATGACACAAATTCAGAGATGGCACATCGACAAGTATGGACTTCAAACCAGACACCGGTAAGTTAAGAGTTCAATTTTTAATCTTAAAGTCATTTTTAATAGTACTGTAATTTTTACAAAGACCAAGAAGGAAAATTTAAACTAGTGCATATTTGAAAATTGCACTCAAAGTTAAAACACCTCATAAAAAAAAATCCCGGAGAATTTTTTTTTTAATTATCTGCCATTAAAAATTGTGTTTTTGCAATTTTAGATAATTTATCACAAAATACATGTACTTTATAAGTGAATACTGATATAACCCGGCTAGTTATCCCCCGCCGATGGAATCGGGAGGGGGATATAGTTTTGGCGTTGTCCGTCCGTCCGTCCATCCGTCCGTCCGAATTTCGTTTCCGGAGTAGTTCTCTGCAACTACTGGCTGGAATTCAACGAAACTTTATGGGAATCATCAATATCAAGAGGAGATGCGCATATCGTCGGCTTGTTCCGGTCCGACCCTTTAACTCAGAGTTATTGCCCTTGATTAGTTATGCAGTATGCATATGGAGTAAAAATCGTTTCCGCGCTACTTCGCTGGAATTCAACGAAACTTTATGGGAACCTTCAATACCAAGAGGAAATGCGCATATCGTCGGCTTGTTCGGGTCAGACACTTTAACTCAGAGTTATGGCCCTTGATTAGTTATGCAATATGCATATGGAGTAAAAATCGTTTCCGGAGTAGTTCTCTGCAACTACTGGCTGGAATTCAACGAAACTTTATGGGAATCATCAATATCAAGAGGAGATGCGCATATCGTCGGCTTGTTCTGGTCAGACACTTTAACTCAGAGTTATGGCCCTTGATTAGTTATGTAGTATACATATAGAGTAAAAATCGTTTCCGCACTACTTCTCTGCAACTATTGGCTGGAATTCAACGAAACTTAATGTGAATCATCAATACCAAGAGGAGATGCGCATATCGTCAGCTTGTTCTAGTCAGACACTTTAACTCAGAGTTATGGCCCTTGATTAGTTATGTAGTATGCATATAGAGTGAAAATCGTTTCCGCACTACTTCTCTGCAACTACTGGCTGGAATTCAACGAAACTTTATGGGAACCTTCAATACCAAGAGGAGATGCGCATATCGTCGGCTTGTTTCGGTCAGACACTTTAACTCAGAGTTATGGCCCTTGATTAGTTATGCAGTATCCATATAGAAAAATATTTTTCTCGCTACTTCTCTGCTACTACTGGCTGGAATTCAATGAAACTTTATGGGATACTAAGAGGAGATGTGCATATAGTCGCCTTGTTCCAGTCAGATACTTATAACTCAGATTTATGGCCCTTGATTAGTTATGTAGTATGCATACATCTCATTGGCATTTCCAGATTTTACTATTTAACACAAAGTTATGGCTCTGTTATTGCCCTGAATATTTATCAAGTTCAAAGAATATTACTGTTTATGCCATGATTAATATATAAATAAAGCCTTATGTCTTCAGTTGTTGTGTCAATAATAACCAGTACTCGGCGGGGGATATAAATTCAACGAATTTGCTTGTCTTCATTTTTTTTTCATAAAAAACAAACCAAATCTGCAATTCTATTATTGCATGCTCACCGAATGGTAATTACATGCGATATATACATACATGGATAATTCATCGTCTTATGTCCGTCTTTTTAACCAGGTTTTCAATTTTGAAAATCCTGGTTATTAGATTGGGGTATGGCGGGCGGATGGGCGGATGGGCGGATGGGCGGGCGGGCGTCAAACGAAATTGTGTCCGCTCTGTAACTCTTCAACCCTTTGAAGAATTTTGATGAAACTTCAGACAAATGTTTACCACATCAAGATGACGTGCAGAACGCATGTTCCGCATGGCTGGCTCCAAGGTCAAGGTCACAGTGACATTAACATTGAAAATCCTGTCCGCTCTGTAACTCTTCAACCTTTTGAAGAATTTTGATGAAACTTCAGACAAATGTTTACCACATCAAGATGACGTGCAGAACGCATGTTCCGCATGGCTGGCTCCAAGGTCAAGGTCACAGTGACATTAACATTGAAAATCCTGTTTACATGATTTTAACTTCGGGCGTCAAACGAAATTGTGTCCGCTCTGTAACTCTTCAACCCTTTGAAGAATTTTGATGAAACTTCAGACAAATGTTTACCACATCAAGATGACGTGCAGAACGCATGTTCCGCATGGCTGGCTCCAAGGTCAAGGTCACAGTGACATTAACATTGAAAATCCTGTCCGCTCTGTAACTCTTCAACCCTTTGAAGAATTTTGATGAAACTTCAGACAAATGTTTACCACATCAAGATGACGTGCAGAACGCATGTTCCGCATGGCTGGCTCCAAGGTCAAGGTCACAGTGACATTAACATTGAAAATCCTGTTTACATGATTTTAACTTCGGGCGTCAAACGAAATTGTGTCCGCTCTGTAACTCTTCAACCCTTTGAAGAATTTTGATGAAACTTCAGACAAATGTTTACCACATCAAGATGACGTGCAGAACGCATGTTCCGCATGGCTGGCTCCAAGGTCAAGGTCACAGTGACATTAACATTGAAAATCCTGTCCGCTCTGTAACTCTTCAACCCTTTGAAGAATTTTGATGAAACTTCAGACAAATGTTTACCGCATCAAGATGACGTGCAGAACGCATGTTCCGCATGGCTGGCTCCAAGGTCAAGGTCACAGTGACATTAACATTGAAAATCCTGTTTACATGATTTTAACTTGATTTGGCAGTCAAAGGTCATATCATCTTTGGAGGTAATTTAAAAAAGATATGATATATTATTTCATGTCTACTTTGTAACTTGTTTTTCATTATACAGAATTATCAATATAATTATAGTGAACAAATTCTTCTGTGCTGAACTCGTCCTACATTTCTCAACGGATTTTGTTCAAACTTTCACAGAAGCTTTGTCATCAAGCACCCTGGCACATATTGTCGGGGTTTTGTGATTGGATAGTTTTTGACCTAATTATGGCCCTTTATTTTTTTCCTTATACATAATATTATAGTGAACACTTCTTCAGTGGCAATTCCTCCTACATTATTCATGTTTTACATTGCACATAGTTACATTGTTTGTTGCTTGTATTTGTATTTCAAATACAACATATTTATCTACAATGGTGATAATTGAAAACCTGGTTTCATGGCATTGCCATGTTTCTTGTGTTTATATTTTTCTAACAAGGACATAAAATATTGCAGACATCTCGTTCCTTCAAGCTCTATCAATTTTTTTTATGTTGCTTCATTCGTTGCAAATGGTTGCCATGGAACAAAAAGAACAAATTAAAAAAAAAGAAATGTCTTGATGAAAAACACAGTTTCCAAAAATTACTTAATTGTCATTGAGATAAACTGTCTTTGCTTCTTTTGTTTGCTGGAAATTGTTATAATGAAAGTGAATGTGTATTTTGTCTGGAATAGAGAAAAACAAATCCCTTAAGAAAGTCCAACACCTCAAAATTGAAAATTTTGCAGACTCGGTGTAATTGAGTCTGTTCATGAAAGGAAGGTGCAAGTAACCGACCACGCCCACTCCAAGCATCGGATTAAGCATAATTTAAGATTTGAACAAGCAAATGGGGCAATTTTGAATTAAGAAACATCCACAGAAAACAAAATACTACATTGTTTGCATTTTGCTACCTTAACGACACATAACTGTGAATTCAGCTGTACTTTCGTCGGTATTTAAACATAAAATATCCTTTAAATCCATTATAAAAATATTATTCAAGGCATGTTTTATATTTTTAAAATGGATTTCTGAGGCATAATGTGCCCTTTACAAAATAAGACGTTTTCTTTACAAATTTCTAAATAATGGACTGTGTTTTAACAAAAGTCTCAGGATTAACAGTATAATACGAATTGATATGTACAATTACATCCAAACACCTTTTTATATATATTTAAAATATTGATAAGATTAATCTGTAAGAAATTTGGCTATAATTGCCTTAATTTATTTATTTACTTTTTCAAAGATTAGGTAGAGGAATACTTATGATAAAACCAAAATTTCAAAAATAAAAAAGCCATTTACCTTTAAATCAATTCGACCGCTAAAGTCGAATTTGTTGTATACTGCTGAAATTGTCAACACTCAATTTTCTATGCATTTGATTAATTCTTGGACAAAACAACATCTTTGATATAACGGACATGAGAAATATTTCAAACATGGCCACACCGGCATTTTGAATAATTTAAGAAAGACCTTGATCTGTAAATGACTTTGACTGTATTTTAAATTACTATATTTTACATAAGAAAATGATTGTTTTTTCGAACATTCTTTTCTACAATATTCTTCGTCCGATGTGATTTTGATTTATTTCAATTTGATATACTTTATATATATTTGTACATCGCAATTATTTTCTTCTGAGTGCATATTTATCCTTTAATATGAGTATGACCCTGGTCTGTTTTTACCTCTATTTTGCACAAGAAAAATGATTTTTTTCTTCGAAACATCTTTTTTACAATATTTATGGTTCGATGTCATTCTGATTTAGAAATAAGACAATATCAAGCGTGCATTTTTCGCGGAAATGGTACGGACTTTAATTTTTTTTATGTTTTTTTTTTTGTTAGTACAGTGCATTTTATATTAGTATCAGCTTCCCTTGTAAAACAAGAATAATTCTCATTTTGTTTTATGAATTTCTTAACTTTTAAAGATCTTTTTGAACGGTAGGTCGATTTTAACACATTTATCTTGAATACTATATTTTAAATTAATTGCTATTTCAATACTTTATATATAATTCGTATATCGCAACTATTTACTTATGTAGGTATATCTATCCTTTTGACCTATCATTTCTAGAGCGGTTACACAAATGAGGTTATATATTTGTATATTAAATTTGCAAAGTTATACTCTTATAGCATTACTTTTTAACATGTTTATTTCAGAGAAAACGCAGGCACTCCAATGTCCTTGATTCGTTCGATTATGATGTACAAAATTATGAAATTTACCAAAAAGTTTTATCTGAAGGTGTAGAAAAAGATAATTCCATTCGTGTAAATGTTGTTGGTAATTTCGCCCAAGGCAAGACATCATTGGTCAATATTCTTGTTGGAAAAGATTTGGAGAGTGTTCAAAGCACCAATAGTGTTGAGATAAGTAGCTGTAAATACTCTTATGATCACGAAGGTGTTAAGTTTTGTTCACAGATATCTTCATCGGACGACATCAAATACCAAAGGTTTTGTGGGTCATTCGAACATATTTTGAAAGTTGGGAACAAATCAAATCAAAGTACCGACAATTCAAAACTTATCAAATTAAACGAAGAAAGTGGAAGCTTGCAAGGAAACATCAGAAGAACAGGACTAAAGAAATATATTGGAAATTGCTCACCTAAATCAAGAGATTATCGTGAAGTTTCAAGATTGCTGCCATATGACCCCTTGGATGCTGATGGAGACGTACATTTCTGGGATTTTGGGGGTCAGTTTGTCTTTTATGCAACACATACCTTATTTCACAGTAAGGCTTCTGTTTATCTCATGGTTTTCGATTTAACCAAATCGTTATCTGATGTTATAGAGGATCCTGAATTTCCAAATGAATCTGTAGGAAAAAGCATACAACAGAGTGCAGAATTCTGGATCAGATCTATACATACTTACGTTGGATCCGACGATGGTTTACAACCTCCAGTCATTCTAGTAGGTACTCATAAAGACTTACTCAAAGGCAATGAAAACATGAATCAGAACTCTGCAGACCATTATTTTGAAGAAATAAGGATGCTTTTTGAGGATACGCCAATGATCAATCACATTCAGGGAAAGCATTTCACTGTCGATTGCACCAATCCTTGCGACGGTAGTATTGGTGAACTGCGGAAAGAAATTATACGTCTTGGTTCTAGTTCTAATTTACATGGACAATTTATTCCTGCAAGGTGGTCACCTCTTGAAAAAGAATTGCTTGCAAAGAAACATAAGAACATAATTCTGTATAGCGAAGTCGTGGAAATTGATGAAAAAAACGAGTTTCCGCTAAAAGACGAAGAAAAAATAAAACAATTTCTCCTCTATCATCATACAAAAGGAAACCTAATTTACTTTGACGAAGAACCACTAGCAGCATACGTTGTTCTGGACACGCAGTATGTTATTGACGCATTTAAATGTATTATAACATCAGAGAGATTTTGCAAGAGAGAACCAACATATCGCCCTCTTTGGAAGACTCTTAGACAGGAAGCAAAGTTAAACATGCTATTGCTGGAGAAAGTTTGGAGTACCGATGCTAAAAACAACTTTCTGGAACACAAAGACGTGCTACTGATGCTGATGAAAAGAACTCATATTATTTTGGAAGCATTGAGTTATGACGACGGAACTGAAGAGACTAAAGGACTTGGGTGGTATGTTGTACCATGTTTTCTTCGCTCATACAGAACTAATAATACTCTAAAAGAATTTGTCACCGGAAGACAACAGACTATGCTGAAGTTTGTAATGTCCTTTAATATCTACCCGGTTGTGGAATTAGTGTACTATCGTGTCATTGCAGCTTTGATTGGAAAATGGGAGATTGTGTCCGTTCAAGTTTCCGAATTGGAGAAGCAGGTGTTACTGTTTGATAATCTGGGTGTATTCAAACTTGATCGTCAGCATGTCGGAATAATTGAACTTCACCAAGGTTCTATTGATTTACGGGTGCAAAACCTTTGTAATTCGGGTATTAGTGCTGCTATTGTCGACTTGTTTCGGCGATTTGTGGTTTCAAACGTCATGAACGAATTCAGAAAACATAGGCAGACGTCAACAATGCGAAGAACCCTCTTTGAGATATGCTTTAAGTGCAACCACGAAAGTCACGGCTTAGATGGAAGTCAACAGACTGTGTCAGTTGAAGACCTTAAAGGAACAATGGTTGAACCATGCCCAGATATCGTGAGTGGTCATACAATAAACACACGAAAGGCACTTTATGAATGGTTTCCAGATGACCTGAACATAGATTGGAAACTGATTTGAGGAAATAGCATCCAAAAATAACATCAAAGTAGCGAAAAAGACAAGTAAGAATTTATAAATTTGCCTCGGCAAGTGTCGGAGAAATTTTTTAAAACTTTGATCGAATTAGCAGAACACTTAATTAAATAAGTTAACTCATGGACTGTGTTTTTTGTTTTATATATATATATATATATATTAACCCAAGATATTTTTCCAGAATGTAAATGTGTTGATGGTATAATACAAATCATACTTTTTGTTTTATATTTTATTTATAATTTAGATATAATAAGCTAATTTATCAGTTTCCTATGATTTATAGTTTTCCTTCGTTATTGAAGGTACTGTGCGTGAAATCTAAGAGACTAAATATGACAATGACTGCGTTACTCAGATGAGCAGAAAAGTCGTACCGTATCTGATTTGAAGATAAAAAAGAACATTTTATCATTAGAAATAATGAGTGTTACATTTTAGTTAAATCGGGTAAAGAATAATAATAAAATATATAAATACAAGAAAGGTTGGCGTTCAAAGTTCATATTTGATTAAAAATTATAACCATATAAATGAAGATTTAGAAACATAACGTTTACGACAGAAATGAGAAGTTGATAGAAATTTGATAGTTATAGCCCGGGGGTCAATATTGGCCCAGCCCAAGGGGGTCATAGGTTTTCCTTATATGTATATAATAAAAACTAAAAATTCTTCTTGTCTGAAAGTACAAGACTTAGAGCTTAGATATTTGGTATGTAATATAACCTATAGGTCCTCTACCAAAGTTGTTCAAGTTATAGTCCTGGGGGCAAAATTGGCCCCGCCCCAGGGGTTAATAGGTTTTCCTTATATGTATATAGTAAATACTTAAAAAATTCTCTTGTTTGAAGGAACAAGGCTTAGAGCTTAGATATTTAGTATATAATATAATCTATAGGTCCTCTACCAAAGTTGTTCAAATTATAGCCCTGGGGTCAAAATTGACCCCGCCCCAGGGGGTCATAGGTTTTCCTTATATGTATATTCTAAAAACTTGAAAATCTTCTCCTTTGAATTGACAAAGGCTAGAGGTTAGATATTTGGCATGTTGCATTGTGTAGTTGAACTCTACCAAGATTGGTTCAAATTATAGCCCTTGGGTCAAATTTGAATTAAGACCTGGTAACTTCACTTTTGTATATCAATTGCATTTAGTACCCAGGTGAGCGCGTTTGGGCCAATGGCCCCCTTGTTTTAAAATGTGAACGACAACATATGTGTAACAACTCTGCGAGTATCCGAAAAAAAACCTCTCATTCATTATTCCTTCCACGTTCGCCACTATGTGAAAGATTGTAAACCCTAGAAAAAATTGATGTATGAACTATTATATCTAATCACATACTTTGATTTATTTTGTTTTACTCTAATAATATGTTTTTTTAGAATACATGTATTTATATTTTTTATGGACCGGCAACTTTACAACTTCTGAAATATTTTGATATAATTGATTTTTTATGAAAATGTAGAAGGAAAGTAAAGTACAGCTGTGTTAGCATGTGTATTCAATAAGCTCAGCACGAATTACAGAGTTTTCCTTCCTATAATTATTGTTCATGTTGAAAAAAAATTGACCATTGGAAATAAAATAGTCGGCTATAATCGAAAAAAAGACATAAACCATTGGGTTAATTACCATAATGTTTGTATCTTATTATATAATAATTTTTCATATTTTATAAATGTAACATTTTGTTTGTTGAAAATCATGCCAGCAGTACCTATTGAAAATATCATTGTTGCACATTTGAAAAAGCAACGTATTTGTACATTTTAACAATTAGCTTTTTATATTTATTTTCTCACATCACAGTTATTTAAGATTGTTTTTTATCATGGCGTGCTTAAGATGATTTCTGTGTGAATATTTAAAGAAATATTTAGCTGTGAGTGACATAAAATGTTAAAGTACCATGCCTCCAGAATCATGCTTATTTTCATGAAAATTTTGAAAAATGTTTTTTTAATGAGGAAAATATTTGAAGAGAAAAAAGACATTTTACACGTTGCAAATGACACTTACGTTCAACTTAAATTACCCAAAAGAGGTCAAAATAAGCAAGCCCTTACTGCCTTATTCACGCATTAGAAATATGGGAATACATACAGCAACTGCAAGATCCGTCCTTAGTCGCACATAGCATGACTGAATCATGAATCTTTTTTCTTTTCTTAAACTCTTAATACGTTTCCCTCAAGTTTATTTTTCTTGAAATATTTGGGCTAATCTGGAGGCATGCAACTTTAATTGATGTGTTGTAAATTTGAAAGAAGTGGTTTTTTATTATACAAATCCATTATTTTTTTGTGTACTCAGTGTATATTACTAAAATCACTTAAAACATAAAATTAACCTCGGCATAAGTCTATAATTATTATATCGTTTGTCAATTAATAACAAACTATATTTTGTTCATCTTTTGAAATCCAAATAAATAATAACAAGCAATTATCATAGTATTGCAAGCAATCCATAAGTCCCCTACCGGTTAGAACCCCATCAACATTCTGAAGGGCCATTGGCCATTCACTAATGTTTCAATTTTTCTCTATTTTAAGTAAATTTGTTGGAAAAGTTCTTTAAAAGTGATCACAGGAAACAGTTGTTATGAACAGACAGACAGACGGACTGAAGGACACTCTAAAGTTAATATTTGAAACATCCCTGTTACCAAAATATAACATTTTAAAAGCAAAATTCTTAAAGAGGAGATAACTCTTGAATTAAAGATGCAATTTTATAAAAATTTTCAGCTCTTTTTGACTAATCACAAATATTGTTATATTTGCCATGTTTTAAGCCTATTTGTTGCCAAGGCAACAGATATTTTTTCAAAATAGGAAGAACAGATAAGACATGCATAATCTCAAGACTGCTATCTACCCATATGTCAAGTTTCATAAAAATATTTCCAGAACTTTTTGAGTTATCACTGGATTCAGTTTATGTGTAAAATTTGCCATATTTTCAGTCTATGTGTTGCCATAGCAACCAGAATTTTCAACATAGGAAGAAAAGAAAAAGACGTGCATAATCTCAAGACTGCTATCTACCCATATGTCAAGTTTCATAAAAATATTTCCAGTACTTTTTGCGTTATCACTGGATCCAGTTTATGTGTAAAATTTGCCATATTTTCAGCCTATTTGTTGCCATAACAACCAGAATTTTCAACATAGGAAGAAAAGAAAAAGACGTGCATAATCTCAAGACTGCCATCTACCCATATGTCAAGTTTCATAAAAAATATTTCCAGTACTTTTTGCGTTATCACTGGATCCAGTTTATGTGTAAAATTGGCCATATTTTCAGCCTATTTGTTGCAAAAGCAACCAGAATTCTCAACATAGGAAGAAAATAAAAAGACGTGCATAATCTCCATACTGCTATCTATCCATATACCAAGTTTCATAAAAATATTTTCAGTACTTTTCAAGTTATCGCGGGATCCAGTTTTGTGGACGGACTGACGGACGGACAGACGGACGGACAGACGGACGGAGGGTAAACCTAAAGTCCCCTCCGGTAAACCGGTAGGGGACTAATAATCGGCGGATGTTTTATGAGTGAAATATACCAAAGGTAACATTCAATGTCGACGATAGAAGAACTGTTTCAAGAATTCCGATTTTAATTTCATGTTCCTTTACTATATAACTGTTGAATCTTTTTTAAGCTAGGACTATCATAATCTACATTTGGTGACGTCATCAAAAATGACATAACTTTATCATAATAGTTTGCGAAACAATATGCAAAATAGCGGACTTTACAAACGGTGTATTTTTTCAAAAAGAATCAAGTAAAGAACCTAGCACATATACAACAGTTAATTCGAAAACAGAACAGATAAAGAATACTATCCAATGTCAGATATGTAATAAAGGGTTTGTATGTATAATGATTTGTTTATGCTAATGTTTATACTGACGTTCTGTAAAATTTGATGATTTGTGTTTCTTGAGCACTGATAATTATGATGATTTATTTATGCCCTGAAATAACTATAAATTATGATATGATTTATTATTAATGCTTATTAAAGGGACTCAAATGAGTTGGTTTGTCCTTTTTTTAATAAGTATACTAAACCTTTTGTTGATTATAATACTTTGTGTATTTTAATGTATGTCATCATATGTTTTTATATCTTTAAGAATGGAAACGCTTTATAATAGCTTTGCTCACTTTAGTACTATATGGTGTTAACGTTCATTCTCCAAAAATATGTAAATTGAAAATTTGTGCTACAACTTTGTTCATGTACCATTATATTGTGTTTGATTGTACTATATAAATGTGTGTAATATGACTATGTACTGAATGTATACGTCAATAAATTATCTATCTATCTACGAGTATCTATGTTGATGCATTTTTAGAATGAATACATACATATATATATGCATTCTTATTATGATGTTAAAAGTTTACATATGCTGTGCTTATATTCAGTACGTTATCTATTCACATTGCATGTTATCTATATTACAATATATTCCGACTTTTTCTTGGGTTTTAATGAGTTACGCCATTTATTTTGCTATCAAAATCATGTGTACAAAGGTTACACTGCTTTTAAACAATTAAAAGAAAAATTAATTAAAAATCCATCGAAGTCAAAACTGTGAGTGAAATGTGCTATGAGTGTAAGAAATATCTTTAAATATGTTTTGCTAGAAAATTCAAATTTATTAGTCATGTATTAAGTCATTTATTTTAAGTTTTGTGTATGTATTATATTTATATATTGATAACGTGTTTTAGCAAGTTGTTTATCTTATCCTTTGATGCCTGTACTGAATTTATTTACACATTAATTTAGGTATGTTGATATGCGCAATGTTAAAAAATGATATTTGAAAATACTTATATTTGCTGAACAGTCTCTTCTCAAATGTAAAATAAGTTTGAGTTCACAAAGAGAAGATACTAATGTTATGTTTTGAATTCTAAACGTTATCGGTAAACACGCTATCGGTATGAGTACACAATATCATTACAAAAATTCCTGCATATTTTTTTTATAAAAGACCCAAATTAACTTGATAATATGTAGGATATTTGTTGTTTTGTGTGTAAGATGAAATTTTATTACATCGAGTGGGCTTTAAAAACAGTATTCTCACGAGTGGCGTAGCCACGAGTGAGAATACTATTTTTAAAGTTCACGAGATGAAATAAAATTACATCTTACACAACAAACAAACACATTTTATTTTTATTTTATGCTTAAAAACAAGTTAAAACGAAATTTTCATAATATTAACGTTAATATATTTAAATCTGTTTTCCCCATTGAGAGCCCCATTTAGTCGGAATTCTCATTAAATACAAGAAGTCTTGAGCTGAAAAATTAGTTCCACAATCAACGTTAAATGACGGTGATAATATTCATTTTATAAAAAAAAATATGAATGATCGCTTGTTTTAATAATAAAAACAAACAATTCTTTTAGGAGAAAAAGTCCAACCATCCATCCATATTTCCGTTACTTACTGCGAATTTATATTAGACCTGGCTTTGTTATTGTAAGCGGCAGCCATTTTTTAAAGTTGTGTATTTTACGGGAGGAAAATAATTGTGTTTGATTCAGAAGGATATCATTTGGATTTGTTGGTAATACACCTTTTTAAAAGAAAGAAAACTTATTTGAGGATTGTAACAGACAAAAAATAAGTGTTGACAGATGTGAAATCATTTAAATAGCAGCAAGGAAAATGGAAAACTTCAAACTAATGAAAGGCTGGCTCAGGGACGCTGGGTTGTTTACTTATTCTACGGGGATAGCTGTCATTGCTTTTCAAGCTTTCATAAAGCATACGGCAGTTATTGCTCGTAGGATACTTTAATATGCCCAAATGTCATCAAGAGCAGTTTTGCATGTGGAAGGAATGTATTTTTCAGACTGTAAAAATGAAACAAAAAATTTAGAGACGAAATTTGCTGATTGGAATTTGAATGAATAGAAGTAAGATTTCTTCCTATTATTACTTTTGACATTTAAGTTATTTATCAATTTTAGCTTTGCTTTTCTTTAAACAGCCTGACAAAATAAAAATAAAATTGAGGTACAACATGGGGAAAATCTTAAAAAAGTAGTTTCGTCATTGAAAAGTGTGAAATTATATTTTGATAATTTTCACTGTGAAATTATCAAATATAATTTTCACGGATACATCAGTAATCCACTGAAAAGCATAAAATAATATTGAATAATGCAGTTTTGATATTATGTATCTTATTCCAATTATACAAATTCAGTAAAAAAAACCCTAGATTTCATTAAAAGATGTATTTTACCTAAATGTAAAACTTTGTATATCTTTATGCACAAAAACCAATAATTTTTGTATTACATTATTTCTGTCGTTTTTAGGTTTCTTTGTGGAATAAATGAAAATAATTGTGTGGCCAACCATGATAATAATGTAAGAAAATTCAGTATTATCGTATTTCGTATTTCATGTTAATACTGATTGTTGGGTTGTATTCAATTTTATTAATGTAATTGATACGAGGGTCATCCGTAAAAATCATTGAAAACCAAACATTTTTATGGTTATATTGATGCAATTGTTGTAAAAATTATCACGACAATAAATATAATATATTGATTCAATATATATTTCCACAGACAGTCATTTTTTTAGTTTAAGTTAGCATCTAGATAAACGACACTAGATATCCTGGCTGTTATAATTTGTTTCTTTATATGTTGATCCATTTTAAAGAAGTCATATTATAATGATTTTTTTGTTCTTTTGCTAATGGTATGTTCTTTATGTATGCTGAACACAGTTTTGTAATTGACATTTAATGAATATCAACCCTTTTATTCAAATAAAAATTCTAAGTAGTAACGATTGTATGTTATTGTAATGTTGTGTAATGGAAATGATATATTTATTCTAAGCCTTTTTATGATTTGATTAAAGACACATTATTTCTCAGAATTATACATCATTTTCTTTCTTTAAAAGGCAAACATGAGTTTGATATTGTTTAAATAACTGTTCATCAAATAAAAGTAGCGATGAAAAAGGTATTTTATTGTCCAAAAAGGGAAATGTTGCCTTCCCTACATGATACTTTATTTCTATAACAGTTACTCTACTTATTAACTACTAAAAGGCAATATAAGCAAAGGATGGTTCAGGTATTTAGCCAATAAGTGGCTTTTTTTCAATAATTTATCAGAATACCAAAAATATAATGCAAGAAAAGTCACTAGTCAAATCTCAAAATATGCACATGACAAGTTTAAACCTTCAATAACTGTCAAATCAGAAGCTGGGGAGCTGAGACCTAAAAGCGAATGTGTCATAAACATTGCCTCAAGTATGCTCACGCGGGAAAAGGTTAACATGGTCATTTATTTATGGAAAGGATTAATACTTTGACAAAACTAGTGTGACAAAACAGGCCTATTCAAATTTTTAAAAGGAACTGTCCAGATTTGTTCAAACGTTTCTATGTTTGCTTTTAGAAAAAGTAAAAAGTCGAGCGTTGTCCCCGTCCGTTGATGGCTCTTGTTTACTTTTCATGTAGAGTTTCCTTTTTTTTTAAAAATCTGGCATTATGTGTTTTTTAACTCGCATTTCTTTGTAAAGACAACAACAGAATAATGTTTGGACTAAATTTAAATATATTCTTTATCATTAAATTATGTTATGACTGTCTGCTGAGAAAGCGTAGATAGAGAAGATGTAAAAGTAAGACCTATCAAAAGTAACCCATAAAGGGCCGCCTCAA